AAGTGCAAAATGGCATGCAACTTATATGCATTATCTTCCACTTCAACATTRTTTTTATGAAGTGGCTCACAGTGTGGGCCAGCACCCCAGCTCACATTTACACTTTGTATACAYTGAACTTAATACAATCTTTTGCATTTTCACATTCATAGTATCTTTAAACTAACAATAACTGACATTTAAATTTGGGACAACCCAAACTACAAGCATTCTTTATATATTCATTCTTCAAGTTACACAGAGCCTACAAGCTATTCCACTCTTAAAACATTCCACTCTTCCTGCTTCCAGGAAAAGGCTGCATAAGGTACATTTTTCTTAGTTTGTTCACAGCAATAGAATTATGTTGTGCATACATCAGCAGATCAGTCTYCTGCTGCAGTTGAGTAGCACCTGCTTTCAAATTATTTCTGCAATAGTTTTACTTGCTTARATTTCCCACTTTGCTGAGCTCCAGCAGCAGTCCAGGGTGGCTCTCCATATTTTGACATACTTCGCCATCTTTGTGTAATTTTAAGGATAAAGCTTTCTGTGATTAGAAGGTAAGYGCCAATCACAGAAAAAAATATCCTAGAGCACACACCTGCTGCCCACAGATGGTGTGTGCCAGTGCTAAAGGCACACCAGTGACACTCTGGGCTGGTGTGACAATRGCAGGATCTGGTCACTTCACCTTGGCCAGGGAGACACCACACAAGGTGAGGTGAGCAGCAGCTGTCTCTGCCTTKGAATACTTAGACAGAGTATCAGAACTAAACAATCAGATTGTGGAGATGATAGATSCAGTTATACATACAGATTCCCATGTTCCTAAAATACCTTTAATGCTGCAGAATTGTCACTATTATTTTCTCTTCCTACAATCTTATCTGGAAATAAGTATTAATCAAATCTGTGAGCAGAATWATTTGCATAGATTTTTTTTTTCAGATTCATGAAACGTTCCCCCTTAACAGATATGTGCCTGTCAATGATATGGGTATCTCCCAGCCAAAACAAATAACTTCACTTGGAGTAATGGGTTTTCAGAAATTGGTTGTAAAAACACTTCTATTCCTCTGGCCCTGYAGAAGGCTCGGGAATGAAATGGAAGTATTAACAGGCTGCAAGTTACTGTAATGACAACAGGATAAAGTGAGGAGGTGTTGAACTGTTTGACAGCTGACTCCACAGCAYTGATGGGCACTAATCTTGTGAACTTCCCTGCCTTTCACACACATGCATAAATAATCATTTGGGTTGAAACCTGTCCTGCTAAATTTACTTCATTCCAAAGCCAGTTGGAAAGTTTAAAAAAGACCAAGTGAACCATTTTTTGAGCAGTATTACTGTGAAATGTTTATGTATTTCTGGTGTTTTAAACTAGTTCCAACATTGCCTTATTAAGCGCACCACTTTTAATACTATTCAGACAATTTTTGAGATCTCTGTACACTAAGAGGCATCACATCCAAAATTTACATCTTCAAAGAACAGCCTCAGTTTTCACTGACATTTGTACACCCAGATTTTCTACATCTAATAGCCCAAAATACCATTTTTGCACATGCTCTGAAATGACTCGGCTTTATCATGTAAAATGCATTAGTATTGGTCTCCTACATCTACCTGAAATTCACAGTTCTTCTTTTTCTCCCATCACACAAGTCCATCCTTTACAAGACTTCGTATGGAAAAGATGCTGTTCTACACCACAACACAGCAGTTAGTTGAAGTTGCCAAAACACCAACCTCATTTCCATTTTTTTTTAGAATCTTCCCTAACCTGTTCTTCCCACTTCCCAGGTTACGAACGTAGGGATCTCCTCATTCCCTTCTGTGGAACCTGTGCTCATTTTTTAAGTGTTCACCACCAGAGCAGATATGTCTGAGCTCACACATACCACAGGACACCCAGTTCTGTGTAGGGGTGGAGGGGGGGCTGGAAGGGGTCCCGAGTTCCAGCTGCTGCTCCAGTAAAATTTTACATGCCTTTGGTAGTCACTGGACAAGTACCACAATTCCTTGCTTCCCTTTTTGGAAAGGAAGCTAAGCAGAAAGTGAAAATCTGTAATAAAAATCTGAAGCAGAAGGAAGCACATCTAATACACAGTGAAGTGGTGGCAAATCCTCAGAAAGATGCAGGAATTAAACTTGGATGCCTCTCCCTGGAGTTTCCCAGAGGCTAAGCCCAGTCAATTCCTTGCACTTGGGAACTGTGCATCTTCCTTCATCCATTGCACCTTCAAGGAATTTAATTCAGAATTTTGCACAGCACTACTAAAGACAGAGTCTTAAAAATTAAGTGGCAAATGCTCATCAATGTGGTGTTGACATCATTTAATGATGCACTTGGGCTTAGAAATGTTAATTCAGAAGGCCAGAAATATTTTCCATCTTAAATTCTGTTTACATTGAGTTCAAATTAGTTGATTTGTGACATTCTGCTGGGCCTTTGGCCTCATACAGTCTGTTCCTTTGAATTGCAATTTAAATTTCACTCTCTATTACCATTATATTCCACCCACAGCATATACTATAACTTATATTCTTTGAATGGTAAAYAGAAATGTTTCAAATAAAAGCCTTTCAGCAGAATTTACATAGGCCAGGCTTCTTTTAAAATTACAGGGTACAAAAAGGGCCTGACTTTCTGATCCTTTCTGCCTTCAAAACAGCCCAGAGGTGCCTTGTATTAGCAACAATATTAAAAACTGACTTGCAAACCAAATATTTCAGAGCTGGATTTGAATATCACAGTAGGTATGAGCTCAAGAGAAGGCCCCAGGTGTCACTGTGGATGACCATATCAGCTCAATGGTCACGTACTGAAAAAACATGAAGGAAAAAATGAAGGAAACTTCTACAGATAATGATTTTTCACTWTACAGCAGACCTACAGTAAAAGCATACTAACCAGTTAAGTAGGAAAGAAAAGGTAAAGTAAAATTCTGCTGAACCTGCTTTAAAACAAGAGCTAGATAACAATAAATAACATTAAAGAGCTGTGTAATGCTTTCTCCAATGCTATGATTACCTTGTGGAACACATTATCAATAAGGGCTACTCACATCCAAGCGYTCAAATAACCTGAAAAAGCTCAAGCATTGTTTCATGGTTCAATAGTTAAAGTAGATTTGGATAACTTGAATTTTTGCTAGACAATAAAGTCAATGARTCAAGATTTACACTAACTCCTAACAACTGGGAGTGGGGAAAGCCCTTATGTTGGGAATAAATTATTTTGCAGGTGRGCTGGTAGCATTTTCTTTCTCCCAAGAGTACCAGCCACTCTTCCCAATGCCAAGTACAAAATTTGTCTCTTTTAATGCTGCTTGCTATCATATATTACTTCAAGGAGCCCTCTCAGAAGAGCAGAAGGGCCTGCTGACTTGTATCTTYATGCTGTCAAAATTTACATTATTTACTATTTTAACAATCACACATTCCCAAYCTTTTGAAATGTACTCTTTTGGTGTGCATAGAACAAAGAAAATGACCAGGGAAAATAATTTCTCAAAAGCAACACTGTAAAGCTGCACTAGGCAAGATTCAGTCTGGCTGCAGCCAGGCCCTAWATTTACAGTTTCAGATTTGATACTTAAAATTCTGTCTTGTGCAAGTATTTCTACCTTTATATTACTACGTTTTCACACATTTAGAGGGCAACAGAGGTGGATCTACCTAAAAGGTGTGGGATGCCACAKGGGGAAGTGCTCTGAAACTTCCCTAAAGTGCCCAGGAGACTTCTGCAGCAATACTGTTTGGCCTAACTAGTCCAACTGGATAGCAGAAAATCACATTTAACATCTAACAAAAAACATGCACAGACTGATAGATGTAACATTACCAGTATGCAAAAAATTTAAATGAAACAAATTAAGAACTCCAAACATTAAATTCAGATTGTTTATTGTAAACAGAATAACTCTAGCACTCTGTCATACTGGCTGTGTCACATGCACCCAATTCCACATCAACTGCTTAAAATAGCACTTGCAAAAATTACAGTTATGTAATAATAATTTATGGTTTCTTACATAAACTAATTAACAAGCACTAAAATTGAATTACAGTGTATTCTAGGTAGTTCTTTATTGCTTGTAGACACTGCAGCTTTGGATCCATTAAGATGAACCCATTAGTATGCCTGAGTTTATCAAAATTTACTGCTATATCAAACTCAGAAACTGTAAAATGCTGGAGAACACTTAAAAGCAATTAAGAGTTGTTGGAAAACTTCATGGGTTTCCACATCCAGTCACAGAAMTTTGCAGTTATATTTTTTTTTCCTCTGGAAAACATGTTTTGTGAGCTTGKGTTAGATACACTGCTATTCCAATTTTTTCATATAATCTGTTAAAATTAGACCTGATAGTACTTCCATGAATATATATATATATATATTTATTTTTACACACAATAGGAGCCATTTCATTGCATTCACCATAAGAGTGGTATGTTTAAATACTAAATCCCAAAATATATACTTTGTAGTATGTTGACAACTTTTAATATATATAATACAAATAGTTTTACTAAAGGAAAATTATAAACAAAAGTGAAATGCAAGAGGGCAAAAAGCYTCATGTGAAGGATCCATGAAAAATGTGAACAGAGACATCTTGACTGGTTTTGCTTAGACTGTATTTAATTTTTTTTCTCCTCATTGRGCTAAAAAAATGCTAGTGGCCTTCCTTGGCAACAGGTTACATCACAAACTCTGATCAAATTTATTAAAAACATACTGAAACATGTACTGTTAACATGTTTCTGTTTAAAACAACTTTCAAATGCACCATATTTATTCAGTTAGAAGAGACTTTCAAATAAACCCAACTTAAGGCCCTTGCCCTGTCAAGCACTCATTTAATTAGGCCTCAGAGCCAATGTAAGAACCAACACTGATTCAATCCCAGAAGAGCCCTATTGACTATACAAGGACTCTGATGTTTGATACACATGCCTGTCACACCAGGGCATTATTTTCAGGCTCTTTTAGTAAGAAGCAAATTCTCACTCATCTGATGAGCAGATTTTGTATCTTCAGTGCTTTACATACTCTCTCCTGTCTGATTAAGTGCCATCTCTTTTATGTATTACAGAGGTAGGAGAACTTCATGCTCCTTGCCTTTTACTATTTGGGTGCTRTCCACCACTTCTACAGAAGTCAGTSAAGTTGGTGAAGAGTAGACACCATACATCGTTTTATCATTTTACTACATTATGGAATATATACATATCTATATATATTTCTATATATATAAACATGATTTCAGCATAGTTCTTGATCCTTCTGAGTTCTGCACAGCAAACCCTTTGTGATGTAACCTGAAGCACAGTTTGTGCTGTAGCACTGCTACYCCAGCACTGGACTGTCCCAACCACCTTCCTAAAGGACAAGAAGGACCCACACATGTATCAGAATAGTGATGGATCTGATTCATTAGAGAACCCCTATTTGACATGAACCTGTTCTTGAGTAAAAAACCAGTGTGTGTTAAAAGTTATTTGCACTAGTGAGTGCTTTGCTGGACTRAGACATAACATAACAGATGAGGCAAAACAGACTGAGTTCTCCATCAGGTACATATGCAACTGAAAACAAAAAATTACACCAAATAAAAGTATTTGATATACCAAATGAAAACAGTTCACAGTAATGCTGAAAAACTGAACAGGATGATGTTGATAGTATCCAGAGACCGGGACGACACTTTYGGTAACAAAAAAGAGATGCATTAATGAAGTGTTTCCAGCATTTTACTAGTTTTAATATAAAATGTCCCCARATTTGTATAGAAATATTAAAATCATGCCCTTATCTTCAATTATTCTCATTAAGACAATTCTCTCACCTATTACTGTGTTGTCAAATTTCCATTTTTTTCCCCCCACACTGGTCTCCATAAAACTTAAATAGAAAACATGTTGGTTGCATTAAGGATCAATTAAAAAAGTATCATTCAACACGTCACTTCAAAAAAATGTGAAAGTCTCTATTTTTTAAGAAAAATTATTGACCCCATCCCAAAAAGGACTTACTTATCTCACCCCCTCCAACTCCCAATAAGATAATTATTGGGATACTAAACAGTGTTTTTCAGGAGTAACAAGCATGTTTCAAGCAACTTTGTTTGCTCTGGAGGGTTATTTCATCTAAATGAAAATCTGAAGGGATATGTTATTTTAAAAATATACTGCATCTACAAGTTTTTTATTATTATTGTTTCAGTTGATTTTGGTTTTTAACAGGTTGTCTGTAATATAAATGACACATGACCACAACTGATTTTTATATACTCTCTATCCCTAACACACAGCTAATGTCAAATGAACCAAGAAGGAATTTGGGACTTTCATAATGAACAGAACCATTTATCCCAATGATCTTTAATAATTTTGTTCATCACGAAGTCCCCTGAAACCATGTCAGTACTGATCATTTGCATTTCTTCATCCATTGGGGTTCTTCACAGTTTTGCAGCCATGAAATTGATATGTGGTTTCACCAGTGGGAAGAGCGGCAGACTGCGCTTGAATTCTGTCATATTTTCAATCACACTTGGCTGCAAAGAAGTGCATGCAAGAAAAAGTCTGCTCAGTATCTTTAATCAGAAAAATGACAAATGCCTTGCTTTTCATTTTAACTGTTGCTACAGTTACACAGAAACACATCTTTCTTGCTCTTTACTATAATATTAGTGATTCATATTTCATTATTACAGGAACCTCCAAAATACAATGCTATTTCTTAYGAAATACCCAGTTCCATATTTATATCATTTCAAACAGCTAYARTGCAGTAACTGCATTGCTAATGTCATGATCTCCAATAAATGCAGAGCTGATCTTTCCTTTTACAAGTTCTACTTCAGAGTATCCCACCTGTYCTTCAAATATCAGAGAAAGATCATAACCACAATAGCTATTCTATGCACTATTATTTTTACTGGAGTAACAAAGTAASTTTCTAGTATTTCAGTCATAATGGTTGACATATCCTTATACCATTCTTAAAGAAATTTCTACCCATAGCAATTATTTCATTTTTAAGGTCTGATAAAGAACACAGATAGATCTACCACACTGTGGAAAGTTAATCACCTGTTGAGACAAACATGGCCATCCTTTATGAAAATTCACTTAAAGTCCACAAAGAGTCCAGTGCTGTCTTATCTAACCACAGTGAAATCTGTAATACTTGCATGAACAGAATTTGACAAATTCTTTCCTCCACACATTACACATTGACAGGAATGTGCCAAATGGTTGTTTTTGCTGTGGCTTTGGGGTTGGTGGGTTGTTTAGGTTTTTTTAAACAAGGATGATAAATTCATTTATGTATATGCATCTCTCTCTTGACACTTGATATATCTGATCATGGACAATCAGTATTTTCAGACAATAATCATGTGTATTTACTCCATGGTGCAGACATTCAGTGTAGTTTATGACTATTATTAGCTTTCTTTTTAGAGGACTAAAASGAACAGAGGTAACTGGACAAACTGATAAAAAGAAAAATCAAGAAAAATCCTTGTTGTTAATGAGAACAAAAATGCATATAGAGAAGAGCTAAAATGTCAGTCCCATGACAGCAGGAATTTTAAGAAGTTTGTTTCTCCCTGTGAACTTGTATTTAATGATACTGCAGAATGYAGGCTAGGATCTTTTGTGTGCTGTTTGTTTTTACCTGTGGTAGTGGCGGTGCTGGTGCCAGGTTCACATCATTTTGGCATGGAAATTCTCCAACAACGGGGCCTATTTAACATCAGCAAAATTAATTCAGGACCATAATTTCATTAGTATCTTTTACATAATTAACTGTTTTCTCTTAYAAGACAGGTATCTAATAAAGCACAGGTTTTCAATTTTAAAGCATCACTAAATAAGGTTTTCTAAACATTTTGTTTCTATACTCCATGACTGTCTTAAGAAATAGAGATATTAATCCATTATTTTATTTGAAAACATGAGCTGAGGCAGTGGCTTTTATTCATTTTACTTACACATAAAGAGAATGTAGAAATAAAAATAGCTAATATATTGATCAATGAATGCTTAAAACCATTTCTCAGTACAAATTATGAGACAAGTAGCAAATGCCAGTGGTACATACAAGAGCAATGCAAGAATAGCACACTGTTTGATAAGGTTACTCCAAGTACAAAGATCTGGACAGCTACCCCAAGTATTCCCTGCCTGTCATCATGGATGTGCTGCTCCAATTACCCCAAAGCTTCTTATTGTATTTCTAATCTCAATTTCTTTCATGGCATAAGAGAGGCCAAATGCCAGATTAAAATATTTAGGACTGGGGAGAGTAACTTGTTATAACTTCTGTAAGAGTAACCACTTGTTAGGTTTTCCGCAAGCTCAACCTTGTCTTGGAAGATACCATTCAAAGCATATAAAAACCAATCTGGCAATACAGTTAGTACACTTTAAAAGGTTTTCTCTAGATAGGAAAAGTTTTAGAGCTATTTCTATTTAGCAATTACTAGTCAGGCAAACTGGAAAGGTGCTTTGAAGCAAATCCTCCTTACTCAAGTGGAGAGCTATAATTTCTACACTACTGTAAAAATCAATCCTCCAGAGGCAGAAGTTTCATGACATGGATGCAGCATCTCCTTCTTTCTTTACTACAGCCAAGCCTTTAAAACTTTTGATTTTGCAAACAAAGGCAGAAGAATTTAARTCCAGTATAAAATGGTGAAAGATTTGCAAAGAAAAGACTGGGAAGTTTTTCCCCTCAGTTTATTCATATTAACCAGAAATACTTCTAGCCTTTTCCTTCTTGAATTCTAAAATGGAACAATACAGTTTAGAATGCACAACTGATTGRTATTACTTCAAAATAAAACCTAAAAAAAAATTGACCTTTATAAGCTCAAATAAAATGTTCGACATTCCCAGAGGTTTTGGTTTTTGTTTGTTTGAGGTTTTCCCCTCTGTGGGTGCTTGAATACTATTGTGGACATTCACTGCTTGTCAAGCAAAAAAAAAACCCACATTGGATTGATAACTGCAAATTCTAAGTTTGGGTTGGTTGGGGGATTTTCCCCCTGTAAGCCTGTTATAAAGCTTTATGTTTGTTTTAAAATATCTTGTTGAAAACAGAAGTGCTACCWTAGGATATATTGTTTTACTATCAATCTACTTCAGAATGGCTGAAAAACTTGTAAAATAAATCAACAAAAAATCTGAGGCACCCATGTGAAGTAAACCTAGGAAAAACCACACCTTTTTCCTCTGAATGGTGTATTATCTCAAAAGCTGAGTTTTTCTTACAGTGCATTTGTATGATATAACATGGCTATCTGCAACAATGACTTGTTGGAACAGGAATTGATTAAATGCTATATTCATCACAATACTTACAGGAATCCATTTCCCTTGCAAGGACATGTACTGATACCTTGTGTCTTCTGGGAGCATCTATTGCCAGCAGCACCTAGAGTAAAAAAAAAAAAAACCCATCAAGTCCTTCAGGAGTAGCAAATATCCCACAGACATTATAAAACAGTAAAAAGAATGACAACATTTAAATTTTAATTTAAGCCTTAATATGAGGGATGMATTTTGGGATGTGCCTTAAAATATTATTAACAGTCATCCATATGTACTCTTGAACTATTTTACAATCAAGCAATTCATGTACTGCTTAGAACTCATAAAATCTGTAAGTAACAGAAATTCAGCCATTAACTATCATAGTATCAGCAATGCAACCTAAAATCTCAGCAGACTTTTCAAWCCCTGGCAGCCCTCTGGAAGCACATCACCCTGAACACAATCATTAAATTCAGCTGGACTAGATCACCAWTCTGGCCTGTAATTTCTGCTGGATAATCATATACTCAGCATTGGTATAAGCAAAATAGATTCCTACAAACCCAGAATATGCATATTTGCTCAAGTTATAATTTCTTAAACAACAGGTACTAGAATTCCATTTACTAACTCTGCATTTGCTGCCTATCTTCACCCATGCCAACACACTATTAAAAAAATTAAAAGTACACAATCCCCTCTGCCCAAGAGACATAAAAGAACATGCCTATGCTTCTTCATGGCCAGAAATTTTTCCATCCAATAATAAATTCAGAAGACATTAAGTTGAACTTATTTTCCAAAGAACTCCCTGAGTTACCAGCTGCTCCATAAGTAATAAAACTCCATGAGCACTTTGCAATATAGTGAAATACYATCATCTATTACGCATTACAAAACAGAAAGAATGATGCCCAATTTTTTTTATTCTGGTGGGAGGTGACAGTGCAGGACAGGGACATATTTCCACCGCTTGTGTCAGATATCCATCTGAGTTAAAWTGTACAATTACTGCATCATTCTGCTGTTCCTTTGCTCTGACTAACTGTTAGAGGAAGAAAAAAACCCACTGGTTTACACTGAACAAAGCTTTAAAAATATCTGTTTCATTCACAATTCATGCCCATAAAATAAGCTGAATCAGTGACTGGTTGAAGAAAAAGATAAAAGAACAAATGGGCAATTTTGGCCCAGCTTGGTCACAGAGCAGCACATTGTACATCCATAAAGAAAGGATAAAAGAAACAAGAAGAGTCAGAGCTGACAAGAAAAAAAGGAAAAACCACAACAAAACCCAATCATTCTGTACAAGTTTTACAGTTGCTATTAAGTGAAGTAATATTCAGCAAATAAAAGATATCTGCATCAATTTTACCATCTACCTAAGACACGTATCAATATATCCCTTCACTGCTTGCACAAATAAGATTCAGTTGTACCTACATCTCATTCCCAGTAACATTTTAGTTGCATTACMTAACTTACCTTGTAGAACTGTATAATGTCATCCTTGGTCAGCGTCTTTAGATAAGCCACTTCAATGTTATCTGCACAACAATGGTACAAATTAGAATAAGTCTGCAGATCACAGATGGTTATTAGCACCCTGCTTCAAGGTATATACAATCATGRTATGTTTCTTTCAAATTCAGATGCTATAATTGACTGCAAATGATAAGCTTTTCATTGCTACCTTTCAAGCTAACACTTGCTTCACTGAATGTGTCAMTAGAACCACGGCAGAAAATTATATTTCAGTAACTCTATTTAACTGGACTTACTAAAAAATGCATGTTTGAAGGATACTGATTACACTGTAGGATATTCAGTAGCTAAAATAGATATGCCTACTCCTGTATATTATCGTCAAATCAATTACACATTTCTAATGCAGAYTGGTTATAGATGACTTTTATTCACAGGATGGTAGGATGCACTTTCAAAGAAATGTTAAGAAATGGTGCCCACATCATACCCCTTAAGAAGTAATCATCTCTAAGACATCTGGGGACAATGTGTCTCAGTTGCTACATTCCTTCATATTAATTAAATTGTCATGGACTAATCACCTAATATCATTGCTGCTTAAGCAGAAAGGTTTTTTGTTGTAGGCGTGCTTGCTTTTCTTAGGATTAGCAAGAAGATAAAGGAAGAACACRTGCAAAAGAACAGGCAGATTCCAAGTCTGTAAGGCAGGCTGTAAGTAATATGAAGTTCTGTATGGAGAAAACTAAAAARTCAACAATAAATTTAGAAAGCTAGKTAAGATTTGGGAGAAAACAGTAAATGCAGTAATAATAAAAATGTAAAAACATAAAAAAATCTTTCCACTTTTTAAGGCTGGAATATGATTTTCTGATTTTGACAATTGTAGTCATATTGTAATCATTAATGATCTTAATTACTAGAGGGCAGAGGGGAATTAAAGCTATAAAAGTCAAGGGAAATAATAAGTGGGATTTAGATATGAAAAATATGGCTACACTTAGCCATAAGAAATTCCAGAGAGATAATATTGATCCAAGTATGTTAAAAACAGAAACACTTAAGGCAGAGAAAAATCAGACTATTTCATCAGAGACAAAGAAAATACTTGAAGGGATAAGTCTCCACGCCACTGCTTATGCTCAGACATGAAACCTTGTCAGTAGCTCTCATTCTCTCTAGATCAAGCTAGATGACAAGTCAAAACTSTTCATTATTAAACAGCTCAGTGAGTCATCGTGAAGCAAAGAGACTGCATTTGCTATCATGGAAAGCCAATGTGGTGCACATAAAGCAGAACAGAAGTCACGAAATACAGAGTGAGTTTTATGGAGGAAAGACATTAATGCATGACGACAGAAAATTACAGCTGTGAATGAGAGTCGAGACATGAAAATGTCAGGAAAAGCTCATTTAACTTTTTTTTAATGATGGAAAATGTAGTACTAATRTATCTAACTAAAGCATTGATAATGTATCTAACTGTATTACTAATGTATCTCAGATTTAAAAAAAAATTAAAACACATTTAAGAAGTATTTAAAAAATACAACTTAAAAATTATGTAGGACTACATAGTAAATAACTGTCAGTCCATTTTCAGTAATAATACTGAAAGYTGGATCTGATTTGGTCTTCTACTAACCTTCAAAACATCACAGTTGCAAAACCAAAAAAAAAAAAAATCAGTATTTCTTCAAAACCGTTCTAAGCTGAGGCAGACTGCATGTTAGTTAAGATACCTGCTGTTGCCTCTGCCAGCACTCCCTCAAAACAACTGCACAATGGAAGAGAAATAGCGTTCATATGAATGTGTATGGTGTCAGGAATGTCAGTGTGTATTTGAATGCATCTCAAGGAAATAGATAGTAAATTATGTACAGGCTATKTCAAAGTTTCAGCTGTTCCCAAATGAATATGACACTCAACAGYCACAAATGTAGCCAAACTAGAGCATTCAGTTTTAAAGGAATTACCATTTGTCTTACCTCTGTCAAAGTTATACTGCTGGGAAATGATTTCTCCCCAGTATTTAGCACATTCTGCAGACAGCTTCTTTGGTTTGTCTAGACGACGAATTGCTAAAGCTTGGATGTGTTTTTGGAAGGCCTCTTCTGTCATGTCTTCTATGCATTTCTCCATCGTTTTTAAGAACGCTTCAACTCTGCTCTCTAAATAGTGTGGCGGCTTTTCAGATTGGATAATAAATCGCAGTCCTTGGATGCCATTTGCCCGCCGTGGGCCACTGAACACAATGTAACCTTGGCAAAACAAGAACAGCAACAAATTAAAAGAAATCCCKTGTCGCAGCATTGGATTTGCCAAACGTGGCATGTCTGACAGGAATGCAACGCTATGCCAACTTAATTCTGTATTRTAAACAAAATAATGCAGGTTTTCAAAATGTGCCACTGCACTTTTTTTTAGAACATCCATATTTCACTGAGGTCACTATCAGTTCAGGGGAGGGGCAAGGAGGAGATGAGGCAGACCAAGACAAAACAAAAGCAATTCTGTCATCAGGATCAGGTTACCAGAAATGAAGCCGTACTCCAGTGCTCATTAGACTCAACATCAGAAATTTATTCTTTTTCTCATAACATCTAATTGAATTCTCTYTGCTGCAATGTAAGACTACTTCTCATCTTCACAATTACATAAAAAAATACTACTCCCTTCCTTTTAGYTGCACGATTTGCTGATCTGAACAACTAATCCTTTCTTCAGTCTTCCTCCACCCTTTTAATAATAAATCTATTACATTTCAGTSAAATGTTTTATAGTTTTCTTATAGTTTCCTGATGCTCCTGTCAAAATTGGTTACAGTATTTCAGAGCTTTTATCTGAACAATTTAGGAGTATTACTGCGAGTGCATCTTGAACACTTCTATTTATATATCCCAGCATTTTACACAGCAGCATGACACTGCTGATTTATGTCCTACTTCTGATCCACTGTACCCTGCAGAGTTTTCTACAAAATTGCTACCTTGCTTCCTAGCTTGTATCTGCGCCATTGGTTGTCCCTGCCAAACTGTTCCTAACAAATTGCATCTTATCTTCATTCAAGTCATGTTTCCAAAATGTCAAACTAATTTTAAATTCTAACTCTATCTTCCCACACACTTGCAGCCTCTCCCAAATTAGTATTATCTGAAGATTCAGTGAGTATCCTCACTCTTTTATCATCCAGAATTTTGATGAATATACCATGTAGAACTTGATCRAAGCAGAGCTCCAAAATACCATTTTCCAAATGAACTATTCTGTACTCTCCAGTCATGACCTTCCAAAATCCTGTACCCAAATGTGTAGCACTCCCACCTAGGTATTCCAGTAATAGTCTCTCAGTTACCTTCTATGAATTTAGAACTAGCTTGAAAATTCATTCCATATTTTCCTAGAATTAGAATTAAACTGCTGATCTATAATTTTCCACCTTTTTCTCTTTCCTTTTTTTAAGGAAACATGTAGCATTTAGCTGTGTCTATATTTCCAACACCCCATCTACCATCCACAAATTTTCCATTGTAAGACTTCTAATTTCAGGATTTCCTTATTTTTTCTTTGGAATAGAATACAGAGTTCATCACACTTTGAACTTTTTAAAAGCTTCTAATTTAATCTAATTAATCTGTTATTTTCCTGTTCAAAGGTAAGACATGGACTTTGATCACCAGTGTTTATTCTGGAAGTCATCTGGCCACAGTTGACATTTAAGTGAAAACAAACTAACCCTTGCTGAATTTTTTGATGATTTGAACATTTTGATTTTATGATTTAAACATTTTGATTGCCAGCTTTTCTCCTCCTCTCCTCCACTTTCTCATACTGCTAAAGCACTTACTGAAACAATTATTATTACTAGTTTTCTGCTGTTTAGCAAAYTACTAAGTCCTGAACTTCTTTTTCCCTAAGCTTTCCCAGAAAGCTTATTAAMAATTCCACGGACTTTACTGGATATTGATGGCACTTCTACCGTCTCCCCTCCTAAGTCTTGTGAGCTCTATTATTTGGCCATTATGAAGTGCTGGACAAAACCAGCTCTTCCTCAGTTTCCCCCCCTCTACCTTCAGCTGTTACTTCCAACTTTTATACAAAAGTGACCACCAGCAGATTTCAAAAACCTGTTAAATAACCTGGATTCTATCCTATTTCCAGCAGCTATATAGGTAGTTGAAATTCCTATGATKAATATTGTATGGCTGGTTCTGCTAGTTGCTCACAAAAAGCCTAATCTTGCCTAACRTGTCTGGCAGTCATGACTCTGAAATATTTGTCTGCTTCTCTTTGGAAAATCTGTACTCCTCCTCACTAGTATTTCAATCATGCGAGCAGTTGAGCAAAGTCTCTGTCTCTCCTTTTTACTCTGTTTGGAATAACCTCACCAGTTCTCAGTCCTACTGGTTCAGGTAATAACCATTATTTGTCTTGAACAGTAAACTGTTCACTTACTGGTGAACAGGTAAAATCCTAAAAAGCCTGAAATGTACTGAAGTTTTCACCAACATGGTAGCTTACCGTTACCCATAAGGCAGTACTCCTAAAATAGGGCTTATAACATAACACTTGGACTCAGTGATCTTAGAGGCCTTTTCCAACCCAAATGATTCTGTGAGTCTATGAATCATGAAGTGCACCTAGAAGTAGGATCAGAAGCAGAAAARTTCTAACTACTACTGACTCTTTAGGAAGATCTAGAAATTTAGGGAAATGATCCAATCTCCTTTTGGTAAATTCTAATATGAAGTTTTCGGTACCGTGATCACACTTTTCTTTAGATGGAGTTGATTTCAGATATCTCAGACATCTTAAAAATCATGCATGCTTGTTCTTATTTTAGACTCTGTGCACAGTAAAAATTCTTTGAGTCATCAGCAGTTAAGATGATTTACATTCACCAAGTGCCCTTTAAATGGCATTCACTGAACAGGGAGGGAACACCTCCTCAGGTCTCGTGTGAGCGCGTGACTGTGAAAGTTTCTGTGTACACAGACACAACCCCCCTGGAGAACTCACCTAACTGCTCCTTGGTGCGCAGAGTATTGAAGCACGGCTCCGAGATAATCTGGCAAAACAGCTCCAAAAACATATTCTCAGAAGTGCTCTGCATGTCTGTCTGGTAATATATTTCAATGCCACAGTTGTTATGAACTTCATTTCTCTGTTGATATACAAACCAACCTCCTGAAAGACAGAAGTTAAAACACTGAGGATCATGAAAGTGTACTTTCTCATTGTCCACAATTAAAAAGGTAATGGTCTAATGTTTGTGGAATGGAATTATAGGAAGTGGTTTAGAACTGTTACAGAAGAATTTCCACTAAGAGCATACTTTTCAAGAGACAAGAAAATAATGCATTATTTTAACATCAAAATGTTGCTGCTTGGAAATACGAGCAAGTAAACTGAAACTGGCTGCTTCTCTTCAAGCAAATATTTTTGGAACTGCAGTGACGTTCTGCACTGCCTCTACCATGTAAACATTTTCTAAAGACAATCTCCCAGGAACTATTATGAACATTAAAAATAATTCAGCATTTAATACCAACAACTTCTTTTGTATATGGTAGCTTCCACAGACAATCAGCTATGGGTAATTTATGTTGTCTGCATAGCTACATATGTCATCACTTCCAGCAATACCTGCAACTTCCGTTCTTATAAATAACACTTTTTTCACCACAGAACTAAAAGCACTACAAGACCAAAAGAATTTGTGTAAGAAAAAGTAAGTGATGTGTGTAAGCACTTTTAGTTTTCCCAAAGAGTCATTACACACAATTCTTAATGGTCAATTAATACCCAGAAATGCTCGAAGATGTTTATTCAAATGTATATACTACGTGTAGCAGAGAGTGGGTCAGGGTTCTTATTTCCATAAATGATAACAAGTGACTTAGAATGAGACTGCAGAATCATTTGATGATAGAAGGAGTTTCTGCCTTAAGTTCTAGGGTTTGCAGTCACCTAAAAGATCATCCAAGTCATTCCAAGAAGTCCAATTTACATGCAGAGATTAAAAATGAAATCACATTGTCAAGTGTCCTAGAAAGATCATGTATTAGCAAATAATTTTATTAGTAAAACCACACCCTAACTATTTTAAGCTTAAAATAAATTGGAGCAAGTTTGATTTCAAAGCACACTCCTAGCAGCAGAGTAACATGCATTTTAAAATGCTGCTGGCAAGCAGAATCGCAAATTAATGTGCCTTAAATATCATAAGTAAATAATTTAACTTACTATCAGGAAGTTGCACTTCTCTGTATCTCACTAGCTGACTGGGAAGTAGCGGCTTTGTATGAGCATGCTCAATGAGAGTGTCCTCAACCATCTGCATAATTCCTAATGCAGCCTGGAAAAGAAAACATAAGAGGATTTTTAATGATCATTAGTTATTCTGTATTTAGCAGCAGGATAAGACTTGCCAATTATTGAYAGTGCTGTGAGAGAAAAGAAAAAGAATCAAGGATAGAAAGCAGTTATTGTAATTCAATGCAAATACAGTAGAAGTAGATGAGAGACAGTGGGAGTGTGGAGGGCAAGAATTTTTTGTGTCTTCTTTATATTTAAATTGTCTACATGTTTAACTACCACTACTTTAGGGACATTCTTGAAAAAGACAAAATAGACCCATGCTATTAGCTCCTTCATATTTTATTTCTTCCTTCCTTACTAGTTAACTTTCTTCTCCATATATTCAGCAGTTACTAGCAGTGTTTACAATATCTCCAGCTAGTAAACTGTTCCGGAGCTGTTCTAACACAAAATACTGCAAACAAGCCTTATGAAAGAAGAATACAAGAACATACAAGGAAAGCACTACATTTTGTACTGGTRCATATATCCAAGTATTTCTTAAGGCTTCATATACAAACTGTTACTCTTTTAATGGAAGACAAAACAAATGTTTTCTGAGTTTTACTCCCCTGAGAGCTGACACTTGGTTTTTCTATGATCCACCATTGTTGTTTAGCTATGTGCAAACAACTTAATTTGGATGGATAATGGATTCTTAAATCTTTGCTAGTTATTCTGAAAGCTTTAAATGGAAAAGCACAAGATCTGCAGCACATCATGCCTTTTGCAGCTTGATCACAGTAATGACATGCAAGACTTTCAAATACATAGATCTTAGGTTGTTTTTATTAAATTTCCAAGAGCAATATAGAGGCAGCACTTAGCCTAATAAATCTGAAGTGGAAAAAATTACACTCATACTCCCATAAAGATAAAAAAATACAAAGTTAAATTATGAAATCACATTTGGCAAAACTACTTCAAGATCTGCAAAGATTAAACTAGTGTTCCATTTTTATGCTGCTTTTAAATAAAAATGGTTTTATTAAGAAAGTATCACACCAACCTGTTTTGTTATATTGCCATGGAGAAGAGCTTCGATGTGTAACCGTGACAACAGCTGTGCTATGAAGGCCTTGAGACGGGGAAGGGTGACATCTACAATAGATATTTAGACAGTTAAATCACTCACAAGCATTTTTACATTATGAAGGACCTAAGCCCAAGTCATCATTAGATACAGTGAATTTTTTAGAGGAGGAGTAATTTGTCATTATGAAAAAGTGAATCTCTCCTTAAAAACGCAACACTGGAATGCTTCCAGATCTAAATAGCAGCACTCATCATATAGTTYGTTTCACTTAGAATTCACATGCTGTCTTGACCCAGATTCAAAAAAAAGAAAAAAAAGAAAGAAAAGCACTGCCTTTCCAATCATGCTRAACAAACATTCATTCTCCAGAGAAAACAGTTGCAATTATTCAGGTGATGTTCCAAGGAAAGGCCTTAGTTATTAWCTAGACAAGCAGCATGTAGTTTATAATAGTCAAGAAACAAACTGTGTATTTACCATTCAGATTAAAAAAAGAGCCTCAACTCAAACACAGTGTTAACTTGAAACAAATGATATACAAAAATATTTTGGCAATATATTCTAGAGGACACAYGCACAACACATACACACACATTCCATCCAGTCCATCCTTGCAAAGCAGCTTTCATATAYATTGCAAAGTATAGTTTAACATATAGAACCAATGGAATAAGAGGAAGGATGGTTCAATGGATGGGGTGTTCACAGGTATGTGTTTTAAATCAAACTCATCAAATAAATACAGAAACCAGGTGTTCTTTTTGTAAAGAATGTCTTGATGTATTCCAAGGAGACATTACAAGACATTTTGTAAACTGTCCCAGTAACAGCTTTTTATTACAACACAGTAAAATATAGGTAGGGAAAGTTCTTCAGCTATTATTACAAACATACAATCACAGAATGGTTTGGGTTTAAAGCAACCTTAAAGATCGTCTAGCTCCAACACCCCTGCCATGGGCAGGGACACCTTCCACTAAGCTGGTTGCTCAGAATCCCACTCCATCTGGGCTTTAAAAATCAACTAGATCTSTTAATTTGAAATGTCTTCTTCCTTAAAATATATTGGTGCGCCAACTCTTTGTTACAAGCCACAATGTTCTTTATTATTGTCATTATCTACAAAAAGTACTTTTTTTTTCATTAGTTACAGTTCTTTWTTATCTATAGAAACATAAGCTAGGATGCCCTGATAATGGAAAAAATAAAATACTTTGCACATTGGAAAGTGCAATGCACATGCACTCCAATACGCCTGTAAGTTATAAACTAGAGCCAAATGATTTTACAAATGTTGATTAAGTATGGGATTCACCATATCCAGGTTCATGCCCACGAAGCTGTTCAAGTTTTGTCTGAACTTCTATCAGCAAATTTTGCCATTTGAGGCCTTTTCTACTACTCTACTTAGTTGAAGCTAGAGGACAAGGGCAGCAAGATCAGCATCAGCTCAGGGCTGGCACTGCAGGGGCTTCACTTGAACAGTGAGCAGAGCTCAAAATAGGTACCTCAACAGTTAAATAACATAAAGAAAAAAAATAAAGTGGCAGAACATTACCATCTAGAGCTTCTTTTAATTCATCTTTGGTCCAAGCAACTTCTGTCATCAGGAGTCGGAGATAATACATTGCATGCTGGTGAGGCTGTTCAGCCCTGAAGTTGTTAAGTGATCTCATGTACTAAACCAAAATAATAAAGTTCAAATTAGAAATTTAGAAATAAAGTTTTAAATGTAAAATATTATCAYGTACTCTCAACTTTGTATCAAAAAGATATAATTCAGATATTGAGAACATTCTGTTACTTGTTAGAACTGTTAAAAATTTGTGTTAAATGACTTTAGTAATAATGTGAGCTTCTGAGTCTTTGGATTAGGCACAAACCATTCAGATGGTTGAAATGAGAATGAAAGAAAACTTGTCCATAAAATGAATGTCTAGAAATTAAATTATTGCAGTTAAACAAGAATATAGATCARGTTGCTCTACATTGGAAATATGCATTCTATGATGACTGACCAGGAGKGGGGAGATACTGCAAATAGAAAATATATTTTTCTCCCTGTTGCCTCCTTTGGCTGACTTGGTCAAAAACTGGAGCATCTGGAAAATTCTTTGCATGCATAAAGGAAATATGAGAGAAGGAACAGAGAGCTCCTGCAAAAAACCTCCTTTCTAGTCCAGCTGTGCTTTTACAAAATAAGCAAAACCTTTTTTCCTCTACCAGAGAAACTGGAAAGTGCAAACTAATAATTTCAGCAAGCTGGAAGCATTCCCAGTGTAGGAAAAGGATAATTTATTTCACATGAGTGACCAGCAGTGGGCCTCAGGTTGCTGAGGATGTATCCTTCTGTCGGGTCCAAAGASAAGTCAGAAATTGCTATCTCCCTTATCTGTTTGGTGTACAAATGGGGACAAAACTGCAATCTCCCCATCTGATGCAACTTCTAGAAATCAGGATGTACTAAACCTTTGCACCTAAGGATCTCGGCTCAGGTCCCAAGACAAATCTAGGGAGAAGAAATGTTGTAAACTTTTTCAACACTTCCTTTCCCCCTTCATCCATTTCCCACTTCTTTATGGCTAGGTCCTACTGAAYCCTTTCCAAATTGCAAAACAGGATATAAAGTTAAGATTTGCCCCTCCACTCKCCTACTTAGATTTCTACTCCTACCAAAGCAAGCTGTGATCCCCTGATACATCATTAAGAAAGACTGACTAAAAAAAAGATTTCAGGACCAGTTATTTTTTAACTAAAGAATGTTATAATCACAACTCTGAGGAATTCACAGCCACAAAAAATAAAGAAGCATCTGAAATCCCACTAATGCAGAATTTCACTCTCTATTTCCATGGATAGGCAGCCCTCCGATTTCCTACCAAGTCAATGCATCCCATTTCAATGACTACAAAATGTGAATTTCTCCTGCAGCTTACCGCTTCCTTGATAATTTCAAATCGCTTTTCATCGATTTCAAAAGTTGCCATTTTTTCAATKATCTTCTTGAGCAAGATATGTTGCTTGTCATTATAACCTTTCACAGAGAGCTACAGAAAAAGTGCATAAGTTGATTTAAATGTGGAAGATAAAAGAATAAAACAAATACCAAGTCTTTTATAATTCAATGAGCAACACACTTYTCAATACTTATGGTAAATTCACCATTTTTGAACATTTCATCATTCTTAAATTAAATCCGATTACCCATCAAAAGTAACTAGCTGACATATATAATATTGCATATTTGCATAGGAGTTACAAATGCACAGAATTTTCCTGTTGGTGTAAGTAAACTGTMCTCAGAATACAGGTTTTTAATGACTAGAATGTTGAGTCTTGGAGTACTAAAATGGTTTTAATCTAGGTTTCTCACTTTAGTAACGAAGTCTAGATTCACAACCTTCTAAAATACTCACTCCAATTTACTTTTACCCTTGGTTCTTATCTATGTTGTTGATCAAAGAATATTCAAGTGGAAATAAACAGTACCACTGAAAAGGGGGGCTATGAAGTGCAGCCCACTTTATAACCAGGATGGTGCTGAGCTGAAACATCAAGGTAGTTATTCTACAGTTGTATTGATGTATTGATCTGATCATACRTATTTTTCAAAATATAAATAAAATAAACTTACTCATTTAAAAAMATAAAAATACATATAAAAATAAAAATTACTGTATTATTTCATCAAGCTACAGAAAAGTTCTCTTGCAAAAAAGGCATAAAAGGTCTTCTTTTGTGGGGAAAAACTTCAAAATTTGGTATAACCAACCAAGAATTTGATTGGATTTGTGCACATTACTTAAGAGTAAAACTAACAAAACTTTGGAACACAAACCAACYGAGATGAACCCCTGTTTTTCAATAGGAAAGGTCTTTTTATTCTGTAGCTGCTGAAACATAGCTGAACCATGAATTTGAAGAAAYAGATTTATGACAAGAGGCTGGTATCCTAAATTAGCATAGGAACCCAATGTTCTACACTRACCCCAGGTGACTTTTCAGAGTAGCATCTGCCCTTGCCCAAAGCATCAATATTACACAGTAACACTTATTAATAATAAAACTTCTCACAGAAGAGAATAACATATAAGAGAATACAGAAAAGAATATTACAAATTCTCAAAGCATATTTAAAATAACTGTGGCTAAAAATGAAGTACACCATTTTTAGAAGGAATTAACCCTGATCATAGTAACATCAGCAAGCTTTGAAAGTGAGGATAACCATGTTTGCAACTAGTCAAGTGAATGCAACCAAGAAATTAGATTTGCATTGGATCAAAAAAGAAATCGCAGCACTCTCTCATACAGAAAATGTAAAGACAATAAAGTACATTTTTCTAGTAAAATGCTTTGGAAAACAACACTTCTACAGGAAATTCCGAAACATTCTGGAATATAATGACCGTTAATAAAAGCTTTTACCAGAACTTCAAGAGAGACTACTAAAATCTCCTATCATAAATCTCAGAGGAGAAGCTGAGCCAGAAATAACCATTTATCAAACCAGGATTCATCAAGTATTGTCAGCACTTTAAAACAGATTATAAAACACGTGATAAAAACATAAGAAAAAGCCATAAATATCCAGCATTGCATTCTAATGAACACATGCACAACCCATTTCCACAGCTCACTACAGCAGAATTAGAGAACTATAACAAAAATCTGCAAAGTTGAGGACTCATTCAACAGAAAAGTTAATCTTTTTATACAGAAACCGGCAACAGTACTTTCGAAATTATCATGCAAGCAAGTAAAAATGTGAACCAGAATGCAACAATTGCACTACACRCATGTTCACAAGACACTGCAATCTTTAACAGGTCACTCAGTACTGATTAAAATACAGTCTTGCATTGCCTTTAGTTCATGAGATATATGCAAGGAAAAAAACATTAACCGTCTCATTTACAAATGCAGAAGTCAAATGTTTTCTCCAAGCTCAACAACTCCCAAGCTGTTTCATTTCCTCCTGTGTTTTTTTCTTACTTACAAGTATTGCATTCATTCCTGATGCAATGCCATAGACCAAACCTGAGAGGCGTGCTGCATATGTATACTCTTTTAAATCATCCTTCAATAACCTGATAAACAGGTATGTCATGTTGCAATGGAGAGGATCAGCATAAATGTAGCGACTAACAAAAAGAAAAACAAAAGAAATGCTTTGATACCTCAGGTAGTGACAAGGTAATGGATGAAGAAACATGACTGAAGAGTATGTATATGCAGCCTCATGATCAGTAGTTCTTGAAYAGGAAAGGAGAAGTATACTGTTTAATAGCATGAAAAAAAGGGTCTTTTACCCCATCAGTCAGAAAGTTTTTAGTAGCTATCTGACCAATAAATATGTAAGCTTGGATTAGGGTTGTCTTTTTTTTTTTTAAATGGAGGAAGAAATCTAACAATTAATTTCACGAATGATATAAAAATAAAGAAGAAAATTTGCTTAATATCAACTGAAAGACTGTTGAAGACTTTTAACAAAATTCAACTTAAAATTCAAATCAAAGAAAGGATGGTTAATAACCAAGATCAAAAAGACTAACAGCCTTTATTTTTTAATTGGAAGTCCTTCCATCAAATCAATATAAAAATGTTGATGAGTGGAAGAAGTTTCAAGGCTCTAAGTTTTTCCTTGATTTGGGTACTTACATACATCCCATAGATGGTATTTTGGAGGTCATAGTTCAAGCCAGCTAGTTCTGCTGCATATGCATACTCGTTGAGGGAGTCTTTGAGTAGTTCAAGGTACAAATAGGCCATGTTACAATGCAAGGGATCCACGTAAGCAAATGGGCTGGAAGAAAATGTTGAAAGTAAAATATGCAGTTTAAAATTATTTCTCTGTTTCTTTTGGCCTTTTAAGTTTGATCTGAAGGAAACGGTATTTTCTGTGATTTAATGCTGATGGATCCCATTATGAAGGATTCTTATTTCGAAGTCAAATATGAACATACCTGAAAAGAGTAACTTAGCTTGCTTATGGTTTGATGACCAAATATACTCAAAATTCTAGACATATTCTATTCACACTCATAAATCAAGTAAATAAAGCGTGTCTTGAATGCACAGTCAGAATTCACCAGGAATAAAAAAAACTAAACATACCAACATAATTTAACAGACCAAAATGAAAGCCACATACTGAACATCAAATTAATTAATACTCATACACTGTCAGAAAACAAAGTCATTTCTATTACAAAAATTAGGAGATCCACAATTTGTGGTATGAAAATAAACAGTACATGCCAAGTTCAGTTCAGGAGGGAAGTATGGCATATCCCTTTTCTTATTACTGTAACTTTTCGTGCTATCTTTTTAACGGCAACAACTCCACAACCTCCTGCTGCATTAGATGCACATGATCTCACACAACACTGTTGCAAATTTTTCAGGGAAGTGCCTGAAAGTGCACTCAAAGACTTAAGCCATGTTTCAAATATGCTAATTACAAAATACCTGTGTGTTTGAAAAGCCAAGACAAATTATTTGTCCTATATGTACTTCTATACTCTGAAGTGCACGTACATGCATTATCAATTTCACAGAAATAATCAGCAGTATCCAAAGCATTTGCTGTCAGGATACAGCAGCAATTCACATTACAATTCAAACCCATGCTACCAGCATTTTTTTTCCTGAGGCAGTCATATTCAGAGACATGCTATTACATATGTTGATACCGATACAGCAGGGTATATATCACTGCATATATCAACATTAATGTAAAACAAGGATCACRGGACCACAACATACAAGCTGCTAACTTTAAAACACTTTGCAATGGTATTTTTCAGAAGGTTCATTGTAGCTTTTAACTTCTCCTTCCTTTCAGAATAAGAAAAGGAAGCACAGGAAGAGATTTTAACTAACTAACTAACTAACTAACTAATAAAAACATATATATATTTGAGAAGCAGAGCCTACTAAAGTCCGAAATCATAGCCTCGATTAAACAAACAGGTCAGTAAAAAAGACAAAAGGACCTGTATTCACGTTTCTCCCTGCAATGAGAATTTCCCAAAACTGAGCAATTTCAATACGCCCAATGATATAACTCCAATTACTCTTGAATTTTTTAGTTAAGACCAAATTTAAAGCAAGATTTAGGTCAATGCCATAAACCTTCCTTCACAGTCATTATACTCTTTTCAATTTTGATACTAGAACACAGATTTAATCAGTTTGAGTGATTACTATGTCTGTTATAAACTCTGTATTCTCACTTAGCTGGCAAAGGCCATCGGGGAATTTTGAAAAAAGCCACAACTACTAGATCATCAATCCTCAAGTGAAAAATAACAGAAAACAATTATTACAACACTGTTCTGGGAATTGCTTCCTATTGTTGACAGCTTGGTAAACAAATGCTTATTTCTAGTTTACCTTTTTTTTTTTTCTAGACTCAAAAGAAGTAGAACAACTCAATCTAATGGTGCATTTAAAAAAAAATCATGAAGTCTAGTATTTTCCCCTTTTAAAWAGCTGTGACATAGCTGGAATCAACACTGAAGTGCTGAGTTGTTAGCTACCTTTAAAGAATTTTCAAAACACCAGCATATTCCATGGTCGTTTTATTTCCTTTTAATTAAGGACACTAGTTGAGCTCTTAAGCTATTATGCATAAAAATGCAAAAGCTTATCATCCTCTTTTAAGCTGGGCAATAAGTCTGATGTTTTTACTGTGATGTTTAAAACAAGAAACCCTCTAAGGAAGGACTTCCAGTTTTGGAACAAGGTGATTTCAAGAGGTTCACATACTCATTGCTCCTGTGGGATTTGTATGTTTAAGGGAGAAATCAACTCCATCTTAATTTATCTACACAGCMATTGCTGCTGTAACATCTGGCCCAGGAATTCTTTCTATGCTTCATGTTGATTAGGGCTGAAGGCAGAAGAAATCCTCCTAGTTTTTCTTATCATAGTGAAGCAGTCTATAGTGTGAACAGACTCGTGCAATCCACTATAAGGCAGCACAGCCTTCATATTCTGATCTAGAACTGCAGCTAAAACTTTTATGAAAGTTTTTCATTAAGATGGTTTTATTCACCAATTCACTTGGTCCCAAGAGCTATGAGTGATTCCATCAAGTATTGTGAATAAACACTCCACATTTCAGCATTTTCTTTAATGACCATCAGCATGATCAAATAGAGACACATTCACCAAGTATCTTTTTTTAAGTATCAAAACTAGAAAAACCTCCTTACAGCATCATTTAGAGGTGGTGCACCCAATATCATCAAAATCTCCTCACTCGTGCTCACACACAATTACCATCTCATCTTTAAAGAAAATAAAAGAACTCTTGCTCCCAATCCTAAGAAAAAAGCCAGCTCTCCACCTGGAACTATTCCTAGGTGGAATGAGGCAAATTATTCAGCAAAGCTCAAGTACTTCTGACTTTTTATAACGGCTCATTGAGATGAAAGTACAAATCTAACTGGGAAATACCATCTCTACAGGTCTAGCTGAAGAYAGCTTTGCTTGCTGCAGGAGGGTTGGACTAGGCTTCTAAAGGTCTCTTCCAACCCAAATGCTCGAATGATATTTTGTGTATGTACATACACTTACACCTTTGTGTGTTCTACATAACCCAATTATTATCTTTTATTTATTCACAAAATATTAGAGATTGGACCACTTACAGTTCACCTGAATTGACTTAAAATAACATCACAACTAGAAACTCAGTGTTCATCAGTAAAAACCTAATTTGTATTTTGGCCAAACATATTACAAGGGAAAGCCACCAAGAATGAACGAAGAAGGCAAAGCACTGCAAAGCACTGCAATTGTTGCTCTCTGAACAACACATGGAGAGTTACCATGTTGATCCTCCATTTCCTGACACATTCAAGTTGAAACAGTTGTAACATTTGCCCTGCGGTTTCAAAAAGCAAAAAGAGAAAATGCCCAGGCAATCTATTTTCCCCAGCTAGTACCAAAACCAGTCCCAAGACATGACACACTCTGAAAAAAACTTGTCTAATATTCTGCAAGAAAAATTTCAAGTGGTCTCCCAAAACAAGAATTCAATGAGTCCCCACAACAGCCTTTCCAGCAATTTCACCAAATCACTTAAACAGGCAAAAGGAGAGTGCCAGAATGTTTTTTTAGCTTTCAGTAGCTCAACACAGAAACAGCTGCACTCTAAAAAGAGCAGTATTTTTTTTAATTAAAAAGTTAAAAATATACTGAAAGGAACACTAAGAAAGTCCATCACTGTCATGCTTACTCAGAAAGATTATCTTCCTATGACGATAATAATGCAAGACCAGAATTAACATTACATCATTTTATCATACATCTTGAGGTGAAAATCATTCATTGATAATACAGAAAATGCTCTTAAAAAAATACAATCAGTTGCGTGTGTTGGTTAAGCAAAACCCCAAAATTATAAGCACTTTTTAAACTGGTTTGCATTATGCAAATTAAAATAGAATTTGAACCTAAAACCATTATCAGAATAGCAGTTCATAAAGGAAACGTATCTTAAAATAGCTGTGATTAAGCAATTTATTTTAAAATACACATTTTTAAGAAGGGACATTGCAATATGTAGTGGGTTCTATTGGCAGGTGTATTTCAGGTATAGCAAATAAAATATAAAAGAAAATTTGGTTTAAGAGTATTCTTAGATAAACTTTTCCTGTTAATATAGAAAGAGCACATCAAATACCTTGCTACTCAATTACTGCATATTTTAGATGAGTCTTCCTCCTAAGCTTTATTGCATATTTAAAGTAAGGACAAACATTCTAAAGTGTCAATACATACAAGAAAGTCTTTGCCACAGAAAAGCAGATTCCCACTAAACAAGAAACTTTTGGAGACTATTTTACGTGATATACTTAAGGTTGCATACCTGAAAAATTCAAAGTTGAGACAAGCTTTTGGCAAAAAAAATTTGTCATCTTGCTTGAACCACAATTTGCTCATCGCAGTGTCCTGTGTCAAGAAAAGAGATTTTGCTAAATAATCTGACTTTTAACTGCAATATAGGACACTATTTTAAAATAAGCCTATGACTTCAAATCTCCACTTAGAATTATCCCCTTAAATTAATATTTATTGAATTGCTATATCCGACATATATATTAAATATAGATATACTCATTACATTCAATATATTTTGACATCACTAAATGACACTTCTCTCCATTTTTCCACGCAATCACAGGCATTTTACGTACAGAGTTACAGAACAATAGCCGTGTCTACACTCTCAATTTACTCAGTACTGGTCAAAAAAATGTAAGAGTGGCAGTCACCCTTCTGCTGAATAAACAGCTCTACTGCTATTTTTATCTGTTAACACTCTGAAAAGGGAAGAGAGAGTTCAAGCTGTTTCTAGGCTCACTTTCATGGGAGCACAAATTGTCATAAACTGAAGTTCAGCAAGAATGAACTTTCTACTGTCTTTCTGGCAATATACTGAAGTTTTGTACTCCGTTTACTTTACTGTGGAATGTAAGATGATCTGTATTTTAAAAAACGGAGTAATTAAGTTCTAACTTCCMAGAAGATCAGGCAGCAAACAGGACAAACACAGACAGTTTACCTTGACAAGAGCAGGATACTGTGTTGCATCTTTTTCCARTGGCAAAATCTCAAAGTTTGTAGGAATAAACTCGTTCTTCATTGGAAGCTTGAATTTCCCATTCAGGTCAGCATTTTGCCATTTCTAGATCAATAGGAGAAACAATGAGCATATGCCAATTTCTGCTTAAATAAAGGATATATGCTTATTTATTTTATGCTGAAACWAAAGATTTAAAAAYGCATTCCACCACCTCATGTGTAAATACTATTAAGATAACAGGGAAAGGGAGAAATAGCTGGGAAAACAAGTTGGAGTAGGCTAGCAGCAGGATGAATTGCTCTGAGGAAGAAGACAGATGAAAAATAATTTTTTTAAGTCTACAGTAGAGAGAAAGGTTGGTTTATAGCTTATATTTYGTGCTACCATGAACTACAAATGAAGATATAAACTAAACACTTTAACAAGAATTCTAATCAAGAACTTAGGTATGGTCAAGCTAAAGGAAYTGTTCCTATGCTTTCTATGTTGCAAAAATCAATTTCAGAACCACAGTTACAGATAACAGTTTTAAAAAATTCCCTTTTTAAGTACTGATCAGTTCATTAATATATTATAGAGAGTTTTAAATTTTTAAAAGTTAATGCTTACTTAAGCATTAACAAATTAAGGTAGCCACTGCATATTAGGGATCTTCTGAAAAAAAAACAAAACCCCTAGTATAACATTCCCTGTACTTAACATGGTTTATAACCATAAAAAAATGTGTCCCATAAAATAAATATYTGAAATCTATACACTAAGATTTTTACTTCTTGTAACATTAAACAGACTCAATGCACGAGTTTCATTCTATGAAGAGCAGCAGATTTAAGTTCTCCCTTCAATTAAATGGAAAATTAGATGAATAATTTACCACTATATTTCAGATATTARAATGTTAGAAGTTTTAACATGCCTTAATAACTTCATCAGAAATTGCTTCTTGCTTGTACTGTGTTCCATACCAGTCTTCTGTTCGATCAGTTTTTCCTTCAAAAGATTTGGAAACTATTGCAACTCTGAAAACAAAGAGACAAAATCTTTGGCATGAATGCATCTGAGAAAAGACTCTGAGAAATCATTCCAAGCACTGTTTCTGCTCCATCACCAGAATACATTTATTTCTGCAAACAGTCCCTARACAATTACAGGTACAACTGCATGTATAAGTGTACTGAACTACATGCTAAGGTTAACCATGAAATCAGGTTAGCACAGACATTCGATGTCACTGTTTTTCTGAAGCTTTACAACCTAGAGTTACACACCAGTAGTGCTGCATGCAATTCCTATTTTTCTGTTGTTGTTCCAAGAAACAGAAAGTAGCTCTTGCAGTCTTCTACAAGATTCATAAAGTGATTATGTTTTACATAACACGTATATCAACACCCAAATATGCAAAAACACTGATTATGGAAATTTTATTCCAGGCCTAGTGTAACAGATATAATAATAACACCTATATCAACATTCAAATATGTAAAAATAGTGATTATAGAAATTTTATTCCAGGCCTAGTGTCATAGAATCATAGATAATCTCAAGTTGAAAGGGAACCCATAAGAATCATGAAGTTCAACTCCTCGCTTGTTGCAGGACTACATAAAACTAAACCTGGCTCTAAGGGTGAAAAAGTAATAGAGTTAGAAACTTAGTTATTATTTGTGACATTAGTTACAAACGTGTCAAAGCAAATTTATTTTTATAAAAGATTAATTGATTGGTTTACAACCTAATTKAAACTTTGTCTTCCAAATTATGGTATTGTCAACCAATGGAAAAAACTACTTTCCTCTCATTCAAATACCTAACATAACATTAACGAGATAAAAAYGGCAAAAGCCTGCATTTGTTTGTTCCTCACAACCATCAGTAAAACTGATGTGATGCAGCACATGCTACTCAATGCCACTCGCTTATTCATCTCAGAAAACAGAGGAATGGGAAGCTACATGCAGAGAGAGATGGTGCTGGGGTACAGCATTCTGATCACTCTGCAGAACCAGAGTTATTTCTTAGGGTTCAGTAAAACTAAGCTGCTACAAAGGATTTGTGGGGGGAAAWAAGTGAACAAATTGTGACTTTCAAAAGGGTCAGATCCAATGCAATYAAAAGCAAATACATTTCTAGCATGTTTACCCTTAGGGCTGAGCATCACCAACTGCACTGAGATAACTTTGCTCAGAGTCTGTGAAATTTCAGCAGTTAGAAATTTCTCTATCGATGTTTTAGGCATTCATTTTATTTTTCTTCCCTCTAGGATAGTACTAGTGCTGTACTTCTGCTATCAWGAGAGGAAAAAAGCCCACTTCCTATCCAGGGGAAAATCTTCTTTAGCTGCTTAATCTGGTGAGTCACTATCTTCCTAAATTTTAATGAGAGCATTTATTCTGCAGATGTTGAAGGAGAAAAATGTCTTGGAAATGACAGGAAAATTACATTTTTCAGCTAAGACTGCGACACATACCAAGTCTATYCCCTTATCTTCACAGCAGGCTGGTAAAATCCAATACATTTTGAACAAGTAAAAATGATACTGGTATTTTAAAATGTTTCTCTCTTAGGGAAATTAAGGCACTAAATGCAACAAGTAGAGTGCAGGGTGGGWGAAGAATATGAACGCTTCCTGTTATGCTTCCTGGAAGCAACATATGCGTACTCACTGCCATCCRTGAGTATGGATTTTTTTCATACTTTTTAAACTCAAAGTTTGTTGAGAAAATAATAGTTGAAAAACTATACTTTTAAAAAAGATAGTAATTGCAGTTACTACAATATAGATATGACAAGAAGTATTTAGCATAGGTGAATGAAAAGGAAATAATAAATAAAACCATAATACAAAGGCAAAATTCAAATCAATGCCAACTAAACCAGCTCAAGACAGAATGTATGCAAGGCATTTAAAAAAAGAAAAAAAAAATCAGGAAAACAATACCAAATAGGCAAAGTTATGATATGGCACATATTCTTTCCTAAAAAGGGAGAACACAAAGGTAAACATGAGCATACATATCAATAAATGGYGGAAAACCAAACCCATATATGTTCAAAGCAGATGTGCACAGGTTTTTTATTACTATACAAAATTGCTCAAGAAAAGACAMAAGAAGGGAGCAGGCGACTGGATTGGTAATTCATTACATTCATGTAGATACAGATGTAATTWAAAAAAGTATAACACAAAGGGACCCTTTTATTAACATCTATAATCTCAATCTGTTCTTTCAAGAGAGCCCACTAAAAATATWAATCCACAGTGGCTTTCTTGAATCTTTGTAATGTACCATGAAATCACTTTTAGTAGTACTTAAATAAGTTTTCCCTTCCCAAGATAATTTATCTTGCAATTTAAAATAAAAGATACTATAAAATTATATTCCCTATTATACTATACTTGGAAGGATCTTAGTTAAGTAAAAATTTCTAAAATTTATTTAGTTAATTTTATTCTATTTTTAATTTCATATGGTGTTTAAAATATATCTACAAGAAATACAGTACTCTATACAAGTTAATATTTTCTTTCAGTCAAATGAAAGTAGGAAAGTGATWAGCTCAGATCTTTAAAAATCTGATACCCCAACAGCATACCCCACAATACCCCAAATAAAAAATCTAATTCCCACTAAAATTGACTTACACTTTTAAATTAAAAAAAAAATCAGCTTCCAGTATTATCCCAGAAGCTACACAAAAGCATAAACTTCAACTTTAAATCTACTTTGAAAAAAATGTATCATCTAGGGTAGCAGGAAAAAACAACATTACACTTAGGAATCCTGAATTTGGGTTGATGTTTTGGGTTTCCTTTTTTAAGTTATACTTCTTGAGAATGCGAATAGTCTGAACATGGAGAGAACTAAGATGTGAATATATAGTCATTGTGGCAATTACACAAACCAACATGGTCTTAGCCTACATTATAGTAAGCAATACATTTATCATTACTCTGACCATATACCAATCAAACTCAAAGCATACCTGCTGCTACATCATTACAGACCTCCTGCAGGCCTCATTCCATCCATGGAATAGCCCTGCGTTGCTGAATTTGGCAGTTAAAACTGCATTTTATCAGCCTTTGGACACTCTAGTTTGTATGTGTTTATATTWAAGCCTTAGCAGGACAGCTGTCAGCATAGCTGTGGGCACTTAATCTTCAGAGAAGTAACCCACTTGTATTTATTATCTTTAAGCCTTACTAAAATCTCTGCAACAAAGACAATATATAATKCTTTAATTGAAGAGGCCATAAAAACAGGTCAACTCCAGTTCTGAAAGTCCTTTTTTTYCCAAATATTTAGTACCTTTTTAATCCAAAATTTTTCAATTACATATTTCTTCACTGTTAAATGACATCTATTTCTTATGCCAGGTAAAGTGAAGAGACAATTTAATTAGTCATGAAGGAAGATTAAAAATAACATACAACATCCAAAAAGCACCAGCTAGAAAAAAGCAAGGTGAGACACACRTCATTTAAAGCTCACAATTACACTGACACCCACAGAAATTACTAATGACCATCCCTCTCTAATCACAAACTTTCTTGACTCAATCACAATCCCACCACCACTCTTCCATTATGAAAAGTTTGAGACTTCCCTGTACAGAAAAGCAAATCTATTCTGTCCAAGTTCATCTGCAGGACACCTCAAGCACCGTGCCTCTCCAGTCTCAATGTACTACACTTTGCTGTTTGAAGCCACCATCCAAAATAGGCTGAATTTGAATTTGAAATTGAATTCTAAAACACCTAACACCATTATCTGAAGGATCAAACTATTTTAGCTGCTTAATGTACTAAAGATCATCTTCAGTTTGTATTTGTTCATGATGTATTGCATCTTGAAAAAAAATCTAGGTTTTAAATTAATCCACAATTACCAAGTGTGGAGAAAATGTCCATCTCCAGCAAGTCACTTTCTCAAATTGGAGAAGACTGATTTAACCCTGCAAAACATCAGATCTCATTAACATCTGCAGCTTCCTTACTAAATCAGCATTAGCTCAGGTTTATCTATAGCTTGTAAGCAATTCTGAAACTAGTTAGAAGTTCACATTCGTGTGGAATTTGGTTAAGCTTTCTACAGAGAACAAGTAATTAWACATTCTCTATTTTAATTATTAAAACCAGTCATTATATGTTAGAGGTATCAAATTTTCAAGAACTTGGATGGTACAGCAACATGAAAATACTTTCAAAATAGAGAAGTATTACATTCTTGAACAAAGAGAACTTGGAAATTTTCATTATTGTTTGCTCAAAATATGATCTCTTGACATAGTCAAGCTTCAGTTAATGTATCCCACACATTACACACAGATGCACACCCACACACAGAGATATAGGCCCTTCTTTAAAGGGCATTAATTACTATGGCAACTACTGTTGCTGATATAGGCAACTCCATTTATTCTATCATTACCTGCAYATCTCTAGAAACACCAGAACCCCATGACATTTGCAAATACAGTTCATAATCAAAGTTTATCTGGCTTTATCCAATGATTATTTAAAATACATCAACCTTTGAAAATGAATTAACATATATGTATTAACATACATTAACATATATCTTATACAAAGAAACATAGTCAAGATTTGTGCCCAAATTCACGGTAATTTCAGAAGGCTGAAATACACAAACACTGGAAATGTGCAAAACCATGCCTCGCTGCCCTTCTATATCCAACACTGAAAATTTCAGCATGTAACATATTCAGAAAGAGATTTTAGCAGCTAAAGACAAAGCTATTTCCACCCATATATACTGGCATTTTTCAGAGGGTGTGCTAATCTGCATGAAGTTTCACAGSCTTCCACAGTGGAAAGAAAACACATATAGTAGATAAAAACCATGCCATTAACAGATTTCCAGACTTMGATCCAAATCATTAATTAAAGCATTCCATCTAAAATGTACTAATAATTTAGTGAGGCAGGATAATTTTACTAGGTTTTTTCTCAGTAAAGCTGAGCTATTTGGAGTAAGAACCTTCCTAAAAACTAATCCCGTCCAAGGGAGGAAGATAGAACGGACACAAAAGACATTTCTTCATAGAAAGGACACAAATAACGTTTCTGTTTGAACAGGAAGAATTTTTAAAGGGAAGCGAAGACATTAACAGAAGAATTAGCTCTTTTTCGGTCACATTTACTTTAGAGCTGCAAGAGACACCCAAGAGTCTGTGTTTCCATTAGTCCATCTGCTTTCTTATATTTGTATTAAAACACAAATTAACTTACCGAACGTTTTCTGGTCTCAATTTGTCCAGTACCATCTCTATTAAATCAGGCCTGAATTCTTCAAGCAAATATTCAGCAGCCAATACTTCTTCTATAGGATAATACTAAAAAACAAAGGCRGGGAATATGCAGATGAATTCAACAAAACTAAGCAAGAAAAAACTATGACTCACTAGAGRAAACAAAAGCAAACACTTCTAGTCACTAAATCTATATTACCTTGGTAATTTCAAATTAGGAATGTGTAGATGTTTTAAAAYGTCTCTCGAAACTAAACAAGAGGGAATAGGATTCTAACTATGCAATCACATTTCTCATGCATGAACTATTATTTTATACATTGTATATTTACCATTCTTTTCTGTTGGAATATTTTGTCTCAATATAAAGTCACCCATCTTTGAATAGTATTTTGACCAAAGTAGAAATRACGTGGTAAATGCTGACCCCTGCAGGATATTTCTATAGCTAAAAGAATACCAAGTACTCACTAGAGTGCATTTGGRAAAAAAACAGAAATAAAGAAAACCTAGGTTTTTTTTAGGATTCTCTAGTGATTCAATTCTTATTCACAATAATTTAAGGAAAYTGTATTTCAACATCTAGAAGTGTAATAACAATTTAAACACCTTTAATTCTAATTTTTTTATTTACGATCAAACTTAAAATCTTTTGAGGTACATGACAATTTAAGAAAAAAGTTAAAACTAATCTGAAAATTATTAATGTGGTTGACAAGAAAACTTTCTTGATAAACACCTGTTTACCAAGGGAAAACTACCAGGTGACATAAGCACCAACTACTTGCAGTTTCCATACAGGTGTGCTTTTTGCAACCAGAATTATTACAAAATGGCTCTATAAATTACATACATTATACAAAAAAGTTACAGTGGAATGACTTTCAGAACAGCAGGTAACTCACAAAAAGGATTCTGGAAAAGAGAAAGGGCTGTGGGGGGTAGAAATAAAGGATAATGAACCAAACCTGCGCTACAAAAAATTCAAATGTGAATGCTGAAGAATTTGATGCTCACTTAACTACTAAAGTAGAACGAAAATTACCATTCATACTGCAAAGCACAGCAAAAGAAAGGCAGTAAAAAAAAAAGTCCTGAATCAATACCCTGCTCTTTGGAACACCACTGGCAACTTCCTGGCCTGATTTTTGGAGACAGGAATTATAATCGGAAATAATYCAACAAATAGAAGCCACTGAAAGACTATTTCAGAAGTCAGAAGTCCATTTGTTAAAGAGATTTTAGGCATTTGACRGAACAAAAGCAGGAGACAGCATCCCAAGAAGGAAGTCTTTAAATATCCATTTACATGTTTTCAGCTAAGTCTAATRCTTTTTAGGAAACAGAAAGAAAATTCTAAAATTAAACAGCATTATTTTAGACTTTACAGATTAAAGGTCTACAACCAATAACAGTAATTCCTGCAAAGAAACAATATAAATTCTCTGAACAGTTGCAGATATTAGCTAYGCAATGAAGAACGGCTGCAATGCAAAAAAGCTGCATAATTCCATTAAATAAAAAAAAAAACCTCAACAAACCCACCTAAATCTTCCATTGCAAAATGAGGGAACTTTACTTGGTTTTTAATACTTCTTGTAACAAGATGATTCTTTCATTACCAATATGCAATCACATCAGTAAAGTCAAGGATTTGTAATTTGCAATCTTAATACAATAATTTCTGCTTACTGCAGTATTTCAACATTGTGAGCTAAGGAACACAATGCTTATGATAAAATAATATTTCTCTGGTGTTTCCCTAGAGAACACTTAGCTACCAGGCAAACGCAATGGCCAGGTACTTATGTCTCAAGAAACACTGAAACAGATCTAACAGYAACTCCAGTTACTGTATAATCAGTTCTACCAAGTGCAGAAGTATAAAATGGTAGAGTGAACAGAATATGACTTACTCTCAAAACTAAGGCCTGAGCAGCATATTTCACCTCCTAAGCACAAGAAGTGCAAAGRACCTTTGCAGATGCCTGTATTTATAATGCAGATAATCAAACACATTGCTAACTGATTATTAAAAAAACAATCAATMAAAAATGACCCCACTCCACTTACATGCAACATTCCTCCAAGCTTTGATGTGTAACCTCGTGGTCGTTCTTTATCTTTAAATCTGAATGCCACGGCATTTAGATCCTAGAAAACAATGATGAATGATCGAAGAGCATTAAAGCCTATTTTACGAATCATTACTGGTTATTTGATTCCCATTYATAATGAAAGAAAAGGAAGTACTTTTGCTGTGTCCATGTTATAGCAGTTGGGCAAGTACCTAACACAAGTTTTCAGTAATATTCAAGTTGCCTTAAACTCAAGCATTTTGTGATAGTCTCATTATGTGAAGTGTTAGACAAGTGTTTTAAGTCCTTTTCACATTAAGAGATCTGCCCTATCTCTCATATATTGACATTTCCTGGTAATTTGAAAACACATCAACTCTGATACAACCAGTGCACAGTATTCCAGTGCAATGTTTGTCATATGTTAATAAACTGAAGCTTCTCTCTCTTTCTTTTTTCTTCCTTTTGCTCAGTCAGCCAATAGGTAAGTTCAGAGACAGGAAATGTGTGTTTTCTTTTTGCTGTCTCAGACACAGAAATAGAACACATCTTTCTAGGACACAATGGGTGTGTTTTCTTTTTGCTGTCTCAGACACAGAAATAGAACACATCATTCTTAGGACACAATGGGTGTGTTTTCTTTTTGCTGTCTCAGACACAGAAATAGAACACATCATTCTTAGGACACAAAGGCAAGGGTGAATTAGAGAGCTAAGACTTTAAAGCCAGTGAAAAGACAGTCCGTTCTTCCATGAAACCATGCAGRGAGACTGATTAATTCAACAATTCAGCTGAAAGTAAACTCAAAAGATTCTTTTCATACTAGTTTGCCAGCTCTCTGACTCACCCCACAGTTTCAGTAGTGCTGAGAGAAGAGGAGTGAGGGAAAGACACAGGGGTAAGACAGAAGGATGGAACTACCTCCTTCAAATCTTTTACTGGCTTACTCTGTCAGTGAAACAAATCCATCAGGAGTTTTAGCAGAGGATAACGAGATTGGAGACTACTTTCAGAGTATAYAGTGTCAAAGTGTATGAAATAAACCTAACCAAGCTGCAGAATYTCTACTTTAAGAGAGACTCAACAGTTTTCATTCAATAAAGCTGAGATGCAACAASAAATCTTTACCCAAGCATATGTACTGAACCAATGAGACTATACCTATAATGAAAACTGGGTTTATTTTACACTGACACTGAGCAGTGCTGTCTCACAATTTTGCTCTGTGCACACAGAACTATCCAGATTTTTAAGAAGCATGAAGAATTCAGCAAAGACTGATATGTATTGCCAAAGTACTTCATGAAAAGCCTTTAGTTGACTTTTCAAAAAGATGATGGAAACAAGTAGCAGATTAAATGTCCCATTGCCTTTACAATCTCARCTATACAATGTGACATACAAAAGAAGGGAGGGGTACAATAGCTGCCATTTCAATTTTGAATCCAATGTTACTCCTCACACGAAATGTTTCATCCCCTTCTTCAGTGAAGACCAAGGAAAGTTACGTAAAAATCCTTGTGGACAGAGCAAGATCCCTTCTTCCTTCACCTCCATTATGATATCATAACTCATATATCATATCACCTCTCTAGAGCATTTCACACCCATGTTAAGACAACATATTCTGAATGTTCTTGTCACTTTTGTCATGTTGCATCTTAAAAATTAATAAACTTAATTACCATGTGATTATTAAATKCTACTAACACAGTGAAATATTCTAATAACAAAAATAAATTGTAAAAATACAACCAGCACATGTGGTACATATGGTACAGCCCCARTTACTTACCTTGCACTCTTGAAAAACCCATTCTTGAGGTCCTTCTGTACGTAGTTTTTGAATATATTGAAACATGTGCAAAATAATATCTTCAACATGCACTGGAAAGAAAAAAATACTTAGTAATTCACTCAGTTCTGCACAGAGAGGAAATTTAATAAACATAGATATGGTTTTAATTGTACTTTGATACATCACAATCTTTAAGTACATCTGCAATTCCACCAATAAAGTTAAACTTGCTTTTYTCAGACAAGAATTTAAGGCAAGTGTTTGTGTCCCCAGCTAATTCCAAGAATTGCACTGAACACGGCTTTACGTGAAGACGTTGATTTACAGTATAATTTAACTTGGATCTAAATAGTATGAATAAGTAGCACGCTAAGGTATTAACAGCTTTTCTTTTAAAGAAATTTATTTGAAGTATTTAATTAGCTAACTTAATATAACCTTAAGTAAGATGATTTCTTATATTAGGTGAAGTGTGTTAGCATACTTAAAAAAACTAAACAYAAGTTAATKAAAATAAATTAGCTTTCAAGCTATAATCACCATCAGTCTCTTCAGATACAAACACACAATTAGATCAGCAATAACATGGAATACAGACACAGTGCTTCACTTACAAAGTCCTTCTTCTGTCAAGTCCACATTAATGATGAAGAACATGAAACCTCTAGCACCTTCCTTCTGGCCTCCAACAAGAGTATTTACCCATCCTAGGTCATTAAAAAGAAACTGCATTTCATAAACAAATCCATAACAATTTATGCAACTTTTTGCATGCTTCAGCAGCATCACTTTTTTTTTTTAAATCCATTTTGATTCATTTACATGTTTTCCTTCACTTCCTTAATGCCTACAGCAACAGTGCAAGTTAAACATAGCCTAAGTCAGATCTATCTGATTTCATACTCAGAGTGATACAACCTCAAGATAATTTGATTACAGGATAATTTACACCTCTTTTGAACACAATGATGTAAACAAAAACAGCAAAAGGTATACTCTTGTAATCTTCCAGACATTAAGGGACCTGACAGTAGGCTCAAAGTTAGTGACAGAATACAGACAAGATCATTATGCTGAAGCTCATATAACTCTCTAAACAAGGCACATAAAAGGAGTCCGAGAAAATAATAGCCTTATCAGCCTGAATGACAGTTACCTATTTCTACCTGTCACAGAAACAAAAACAAAGCACAAACTGACTTARAGTCCAAACTACCCAAACAGTTGATGGCTTTAACATACAGAGGTCTATTTTAAGTGAAGCGTAGCTAMATTTAAAAAAACTGTATGACAAAGTATTTTTCAATTCTTTACCTTCGAAGGACTTACCTTTGGCTTTAAGCTCTGATAGAAGACTCCCCGGGCCTTCATGCCCAATCAGATGGCCAAGGTAATGGCCAGGGTTTGATTTATAGTACTTCTGAAGGTCTGGTATAGGAAACGTGACATAAAGATTTCTAATGTCCTTAATGGGCACCACTTTGTAAAGTTGCTGAGGGAAAAACAAGGAGACCCATAAACAAAGGGGAACTCATTTACTGTACTCATCTCAGGAGCATATATCATGTTCCCTTCACAGACACACATTACAAACACATCTTCCAAATCTCAAAAGTAGAGCTATCTACAACAGAGGGCAACACTTCAGCCATTCATGAYACAAAGTTGTTTACAACTGCAACCAAATGTGCAACCTTTAATATACAAAACTATACTCACCATGGAAAAGTGGGTGGAAAATTAATAAAGAAATATGGAACTTAACAGGAACAACGATAAAAGAGTACCAAACTGCACAAAGTATTACTGAAACATTAAAAGTATTTAAAATATAGACCCTGAATGGAAGATGTATCTGTGTACATACCCGGAGATGCTCTTCTTGGAAAGGATGTTCAGGAAACTCTGGTACAGGGACATTTTTATTCTCTACTTCTGAAAATAACTTTACTACTAAGGAAGTTAGCTCATCCAAGGATTCTTGAATAAAGAAAGATTAGAAAAGACACRGTCATTGCATGAAGATTCCAACAAACTTTTTWAAAAATATTTTGTTTGGGACGGGCATTAATTATAGAAAAAAGTAGTTTCAATGGTGTCGTCATGATTATTATTTTCAGAAAGGAAATAAATATTCATATTTAAATTTTGAACTGTAACAAACTAGAAGMACCATGCTTATTAAAGGAAGGTTTCAATCATTATTAAACTAAATCCTGTAACCAAAAATACATCTTTATGTTTTACTGATGAATCTAAGCTAAAACTGAAGAAAAGATACATCAGATCTTACACTTACAAAAACAAACATCCCACAAAAGTTTAAGGGACACAGAATTACAGCTGCAAATTTTCCAGAGTAAAAGCATCTTTGCCAAAACCTGAATTTTCTTTAGCCTCAGCTCATGTCCAGTACTTCAGGTACACTGTGAGCCAGGTCCATCTGTTCTTAGCACTCAAAATACACACACACCTGTGACCTGTTCAAACATTTTTAATTTAATTCTAGTTTCTGTGACTGCAGAAGCCCACAAGAACGAGAGCAGGCCTTTTGCAGAAAGAGTATGATGATGTGCATTAATGCACCTAAACTGACTTACACAGTTCTCAYTGAAATTCTGCCTTAAGAATTGCTATTTGCCTCAAGAAATGCATTTTAGTGCACTTCTCGAAGTGAGAATAAGATTTTAAAAATTCACCTGTCAATTTTTTTAGTGAATGCCTTTCAAGAGTGGACATTGRAAGAAAAAAACCTCAGTTTCTTGAATATCTCAAGGTACAACCTTAACCCTTGAAAGATTTCTAAATACAGCTACCTTGTTATCAAAACAATCCAGTGAGACTGTGAAAGCAGAATCTTTCCTGCCCACCATATGCATGCTCCTACACTACACTAACACAACAGTACAGGGGAAAAGTAACAAAACAATGCAAACCAAGAGGGTTCACTATATATGAACATTTTTTGAACTGCATGTAATGCTATTGAAAATCATTACTTTTTATTCACGTTAGCAAAATACACATTCATTTAATCTTGCAGTGAGTTTTCTCTAGTACAGATTTACGGTTACCAAGGTGATTCTAACTGAAAAAATTATCATGTACAATTCCTTACTGAATTTTGCTTTTGGTTAGATAAAAAATTCATTTTCTTTCACGACACTCACTCAGTCCAAGCATTACTGTAAAACATCATACAAATACCAGTCCACCAGTGTATTTTCAAAAGGCAAACAGTTTTTACCATACTGTTATTAAGCTTTGAGCAAACCTCTGTAAAAGATCATCTCAACTGTGGAAGGTTCTAAGCAGTTAAAACCTCCTTTTATTTTTTAAGTATATATGTAAAGTCTTACTCAACCAACCAAACAAAAAACTCACCTCTKCCTAAGACACAAATAGCCATTAAATTTGATGAATAATAAGTAGAATGGAACTTCAATAGCTCTTCCCTTACATCTATTCCTTCTTTGGTTGGTCTAGTTTCCAGAGTGAGTTTGTTCCCTGTAACATAAAAACATTTAACAATATTTGATGTTTATGAACTTASAGATCAAAATGAAATATATAGATTAATCAGTCTGCTTTCCTTCAGATGGATAGTAATTTTTAAAATAATCAATATGCATAATAAGTAAACTGGATCAATACTATCTTGTGCTTTAAATATTTTGTCTATATTCCTTACCATCCACAGATAAATTAAATGGTGAAGTTCTAGACATCATACTCTGTTTAGTCCCAGAGCATCAATACATATAATAAAACATAGTAAAGCTTCAGTTCAGTAACTGGAGTACATTACAAAACAACAATCAGAAGACACCTTGCAGATATAGGAAAACGGACACTAGACAGTTCAGAAGCGCTTGGAAAATTACTTGACACTGCTGAGGGTAATGAGGGAARAGAATCCCCATTACAAGCATTAATTCAGGGAGGTCAGAGAACTGTATCAGGGGATGAATGCACACCCTTAACAAAAAAACTGGAAGACTAAGGTGCATTTGTTTCTATGGACAGACAWGAATAATAAAAGGTTTGCTGACCAAACATGGTGCACAACAAAGAGAAGTGACCTGAAGCATCAAATGGAGTAATTACTACACTCAGCTAGATTAACATCAGCTGGTCAAAAGGATGCCAAAAGCATTGCAGTTGTCATCTCTTGGTAAATAAAAACCATTAAAGCTGAGCTCTAYTTCTGCAAAGTCATGCCTACAGGAAGGCTATGTGCTGTAATTTCAATCAGAGCCAAATCTAAGGAGAGGTGAATAATGACTATTGCTGATGAATTTGAAAACATTTTGGGTATTTTCCCCAGAAAACATTTCACTTGTGTGAGCTAGACAACCTTCCTTAACTGTACAAAACTCCTTCTGCAATTTCCACTTACATTTTCTTAGTTCCACATAAAAATTAAGTAATGTCTTCAGTAGCAGAGATTACAGAATGCACTTTGAACACCTGCCTACTAACAAAGTTCCCAAGGCTTTATTTTTTAATTTACCTGTTTGAAGAATGGAGTTAGAGTTTCACTTTTACAGACAGCCTCTCTTTACYGGTCAACAAAGCAATACCTGCTTTTGTGGCAAGTGGCTACCAGACCCGTAACTATGCCCTTCAGAAACAGATGCAAAGGTATTCTCATCTTTGTTGAGACAGAGGAAAAAAACACTCCCTTAAAGCCCATTATCTGCTCTCCCATCCTCCTACTGTACCCAGTATTGGAGTCAACTATTCACAGAGCAAACTGACCCATCAACARAAATGTTTTTCAGCACATTATGCTCAACGATTAAACAGTGCAGTCTTGTTACTTTAACAGTTTCAAAAATAAATCCACGCAGAAAATAACAGYTATTAAAAAAAACACCCAACATTTAAACTTCTACCAAAGCATCAAATATTTGTGGTTTTGTCCATAACTGTGGTATCTCAACTTTAATGCTTTTTGAATTGAGGTTTTGGGGTGTTTATTTCAAATTGTTACTAAGCATTCTGTGAATAATTAAACCTGAGCAAAAGAAAAATACAGCCGTAAGACTGGGATTTGTCTGAGAACACTCTGTCTATCCGTGTCCTACTGTTGTGCTCTATAGTTCAGATTTTGTTTCTACATTCCTACTCAGTAATTTTCACAGTATTTTGCTAATCCTTCTGATTTGACCTAGTTACCGTCATCTAGTCAAATGCAGAACTAGTTAACAAAAAGCATGAGACTAACAACAATTTAAACACAATTCATTCATTTTTTTATGCACAAAGACTTAACAGTACCAAATTAAGACAAATGCAGTAATTGGAAAACAGCCCTTTAATTATCAGAACCATAAAGATCACTTCATCACTGTACTCCAAGTCTTGGATTACTGTTGTTCCTATGCTTTTGTCTAGCTCTGTTTGGTCTGTGACGTGAAAAATGCGATCAAGCACCATAATAAACATGTATGGAAAGGAAAAGAACTGTTTCAGTCTGTCTTGAGAAGTTTTACATAAACAACAACACTGTGTATGTTACACAGAATCTCATTGGATAGGTAATTATGTTCTGACAAACCTGTTCCAAATTTACTGAAGGGATGATTGGGGTTTCCAGTAGCCTTCTCCAATTGAAACAACCTCCAGGCATCATTCATCAGATTCTTCTCATGCTCAGAATCAACAGCATTCACTTCCCTATCTTTGCAGCTTTCATCAAACAGAGGGCACAGGAAAAACTGGGCAAATCTAAAGAGAAAAAATTYAATTCAAGTCAAGAGTACTGTACATAAATTATAACAGAAAAGTATAAAGCTTGGTACCTCCTGAAAAAAACTGAATTCATTATTTCTTAACACAGAACTTTAAAATTCTGTAACAGTTTTGACACTGATACAGTATCCTTACTTCTCAATTTCTTAATGTATAAAGGCAGGCAACAACATGTTCAGCATATAAGGTACTAGAAAAATCAAGGGTCCTGCATCACAGTTCACACAGTGAAATTTCTCCCATTTTGAGGTTTAGCTGCAAGAGGCTCTTTAATCTCACCTAYCAAAGAAGTCTTGTCAGACATGCAGGGAAAAGCCAAAAGAGAAAACTCACTCTACCTCACTGACTACACACCTTCCAATTTCTGTCCTGTACCACAAAACACCGAGATTTCAGCAGGCTCCCTCTACAAAGAGCATCTTAATATATTTCTAGACTTCACTCTTGTTTTGCTGTCAATAAGGATCCMATGGAAAGCACAGCATCATCCCAGTATTTGCATAAAGGTAAATGCAYGATCATATTCTATGCCCTGCATTTCCAAAAATACTCAGTGTAAACACAACATTTAAATTTCAAAAATTCTGCCTCGATGAAGAATTCTCCTAGCTGAAAAAAAATCTGACTAAGACTTTTGAGCTGCAAGATATCTCTATCAGTTTTAGCAAAAGACAGTTTTTACCCTTTAATACCATAATGATAGAACTATCAAAAAACTTTTACACTAATAAGTTCAAGTAGAACCTCTGTAATAAAAATYTAAATAGTTAAAATATGTGTTTACCTGTCCAGTGCACCTTCTAGATGTTCATGTGACACATCAAAGTAATAGTTTGTATGTTCACCACTCGTGAAAGCATTTGAACTCCCGGCATGCTCACTYAGAAATTGGCTATATTCATTCTCTTTTGGATATTTCTTGGTTCCCAGGAACAACATATGCTCACAAAAATGACTAAGCCCAGCAATGTTGGGGGGATCAGACAAGGATCCTGCAAGAGGAAAAATTTCGTGTAACCATTCAGAAAAAGTAATACTAAAACATTAAGTCTTTTAAAGTGCTCTATATTGTAGTATGTTGCTTTGTGCAATTATATCAATGCCATAGCTGTAAGCAGACACTTCCGCAATTACAGTCAACTTAATCTCAAAAAAAATTTACAGAAATTCGAATTAGTAACAGAATCAATTAGCATCTCAAATTGCCTCTCCAGATCAGCCAGCACTTCCTTATACAGACAATTTTCAATTGAAGTCCATGACTCAATCTGTAAAGACCTGGCAAATCACACTGTTCTGAAATCTATACCTCGACTTTAATAATTGCACTGTGTTAAGAGGCAGCAATTGCCAACAATAGTTAAAGAGATATTCATCCTATGGTTTATAAGACAAGTGATTACGTATAATTGCYTGAACACAAGCAGCTATGGATGACCAACTAGTAGGTGTGATGGTAAACAGATTAAAAGACAATAATGATTCGGAAGAATGGAAAACAGGCAGAAGTTTGAGAGTGGCAGTCCCGCCTTGGAGTGTGCAGCAATGTGTAGTGTGAGAGTGGAGATGAAGGCAACAGATACATCTCCAGCATGTGTGAAGAACTGGATGAGGCAGCTGGCTATCACTGTCACAGCACCCAAACAAAACCATATTTGGGCTCCTCTGAACTAGATAATGATCTCGGACAGCCACCCCCATAACAAAAAAGCTCAGAAATTTTCAAAGTTCCTCTATTACTTCTGCCCTAACACAAGAGCAGCAAGAGTTTCCAGTTAGAGACATGGCAAGAGGATGTTTAGGTTATGCACACATGCATTAGACTTTCCAAGATACAGAAAAACTATGCAAGCTTGAGAAATACCTCAGATGTAAGAAAAGGCTTCCATTATTCCCAAGAGTCAAAGTAATTGCCTTCCCCTTCTACTTCCCATATTTCTGTTTGCACACATAAGCATCACTGAAGTTAGGGAGTGCCTCTCCAACGTCTCTAGCACTACAGCATTTTCTCACCTCTACACATCAACAACTTAGCACGAAAAAAAGTCTGACATGACAGATGGAGCTGTCTGAAATAATTGCACTTGCACCCGCCCCTTTTCTGCTTACAAAAGATCTTTCATAACATGAAACTTAATGGTTAAAAGCAGTCTATCGACTGACTGAGCTACACTTGAGTAAACACAGAATACAGTAAGAACATTTAGCTCTAATAATTTTCAACTTTGATGTGTCAAAGAATTAAAAAAGCTATAAATTACATTAAAAGGCTAGGCTGCCAACTGCATACCATTCCTGTCAGTTTATTTGCATCGAGATACCCAAACTTTAAGCATTTTTATTAATGACATGAAGAATGCAGCATGAATTGAATACCTATATGCACATCAAGTGCTGCTGAAGACTTATCTGTGGTGGGGTCACTAATGAGAAGAGCTTTAATGCCATTTTCCAATTCCAGTCCACGATATTCTCGTTTATCCTCAGGTGATTTTATAATTTCATTTGTTATTCTCTTAATAGCTGGATTGTTCATTTTGTTGTTTGTCTCCTTCTGAAACCTTAAAGAAAACAGAAAAAAAATCTTACTATTTTCACTTAAGCCTTGCTAGTATTTTAATACTGTGTTAGACAACACACGGCAATAGCGACAGCAGGAAGTTCTATAATGTGCAAAATTCATTGAATTTGCCAAAAATGCAGACCCTGAGAGACATTACTACTAACAAAAARAACCTTGAAGACCAAGAAACCTGATAAAAACGTAGATCACTTCACTGAGTGCTTTAAGTATCACACTAACTGTAATTTAAACAACCCAAATTTAATAAATGTCATCCCCTTATTTGATTATGATAAAAATTAAATTAAATGAAGCATACACCGCTATCTCAAGTATATTTTCAAACTTCAGGAAAGTATTTCATGTATCTGAATTACTGGTTATATTATGAATGTTGTAATTGTCAAATAAACAAAATTTTACTAACAGACAACTGGATTTGTACACTCAAGCAAGAAACAGTGACACTGTTCGCAATATTGCCATAAAAATACAAAGACTGCAGAACTGCCATGATAAACAGGAATAGATTGTCTCACATGTTTAAACTTCTGCATTAGTTCAACAGATACTACAGGACACCCTTCTTTAAAGGCACAATTTTGAAATGCTAAAAGACCAAGTGTGACTGATTCAGAATCTGAATGTCTCTAAGCAAAAGCTATAAACAGTATGAAGAAACTTGTTAAAATGTGCAGTACAGTGCATTTTAGAAGGAAACATTTCCACAAGTAAAACATGGTCCTTTCACTGTGAAATACATTAAAAAMCGTAAGTGCAATCAAATGTAATCACTGAACAGTAGCTGAAATGCTGAATTTGAATTTAAATGTTTACACTCTCATTTAAAATTATTATTTATCCACTAGTTTAACCCTGTACTCAGGCTAATCTTGCTTGGAATATCTAAGGGCCTCCTTCCTCTGAAAAATGCAGATACCATTGAAATACAAAGATTACTCCAAGTACCACACTATCTGTTTCTCTGCATCACTAGCACTGGTACAAACCTATCAAATAAAAAATGCCTCCATGTTCAGAATTTCAAGAAGAAATTCTCTACTAAACATACTGCGTAAAATTTTTGAAGTGAGRATACTACTTTCCATATATGAAAATCCGTAACTAAACTGTTCCTTATTGTTTTTCACTTGCACAGAAGTCAGATTGACAAATCTAAGTATGCAGGTGAACAAGGGGTTCCCTTAATCTCCTGACTCCATGTCTGTTAGTGAACACCTATGCCTTGGTTTTCAGCTAGAGCATTCTATCTCAGCAAGATACTAATTGCTTGTCAGAAGACACATACACGCTATAAACTACTTCAGTTCTGGGGTTTTTTAAATGTTATACAATTTCCTTGTCATCTGATATCTCCTTGTTATTTCTACACCACATCATTAAGTCACACAACTTCACTGTTTGTTCAGATGACTCATCTTTCCAACGTGATTCATCAAATTACGCAGCTATGAAACCTTATGAGATTTCAATTGATGTCTTGTGAAGCTGTACACCTCTACTTCATTTTAWTATCATTCCCTACTTCTGTCTCCTTCATAGGCTACCTCCAGCTTGGTAGTGAAATTCCAGTACAGGAAAAAGCTATAATTTTCAAAAGGACAAATTCAGTAATTAAGCTTTCAAACCAAGGACTGAAACTTGTATCTCCATCCTCATTGTAATCTCAATGGGCATTGTGAATACAACATTCTCTAACTTCAAATGGGTTTGCATGATTTAYCGTGAATAAATGATCAACTATGCAGTATTGCTGGAAGGCAATGTGTCAAAAGAGCAAGACCAACACCTTCATGCTTAAGTACTGTTCCTCATGATGCTATGTTACTACAATACAAAAGTAAAAAGAAAAAAGTCACTTCAGAGTGAAAATTTTATAGCATTACTTTTTCTTAAGAAGTAAACTGTAAGACCTAATACTAAACATTCCCTCACATCACTGTTTTCCTATACAACTTTTAAGTAAAAGCAATTGCTTTATAAAAATACCACATTCCATCCTTTCCAGATCTCAGAACTCTACAAACAACTTTTTGACAATCGAACTGCTTTTAACCAAGGCAAAAAACAAAAAAACAAACAACAAAGAAACAAAAAACAAAACAACAGAAAGAATTCCATACTTATTTGGTGCGAAGTAGCTTAATTTCTGAAGTCATGTTCAGAAGCTGTCCTAAAGTCTGTATGTTATAGCTACTTGCTGTACTGTCATTACAGTGAGCACTGGATGCTACTGGTCAGCAGCAAAGCAATTCTTCCACAAATGAGGTGCTATGTTTATTGCAAAGCTAATATTCTAACAAAAAACATTAAAAGAAGTATTGCCATACTACTTTTACAAAGCAGAAACAACAGAGAAAGATCCAATAAAGCCAACATAGCAGAAACAACACAAAGCATTACTGTAGCAGTGGAAATTCTTCCACTGGCTCAAAAATTACTGGTGGCAAGATGACAAAGGCAGAAAGAGAAAAAAARRAAAAAAATAGGGGTGTCTGAAGTGAGAACAGTGTCCCTACTCAATTAATATCCTCCTCATCAAAATTCCTTCAYTTGCACAAGGCAAGTATCAGTTAAAACCAACAGTGAATTTTCAATTACAGCACTTCTAACTGAAATTATATTCTGTTCTTTGAGGTTCCATTTTTGTAATCATTTCCAGGCAGGCAGTCCCTTGGAACCAGCAGGGCTCTCTGGGGATGCCAGGTTTCACCTGCAAACAGAATATTACAGAGTGGGATTAAGTGATATATGATTCTGCTTCACTATTTTAATCTCTCGAAGTTATTTTAGCAAACTTACTTTAATTAAAAATTAGTCCAAGCAGTCAAATGTAAGTCCAATGTTTGAACAATTAAAGGACCATATTTGAAAACCAATTAACAGAAACTCCTGAGGGTTGCTTCAATGCAACAATGTGAATAGCTAATAAAAATATGACCCCCCAGGCACAARCTCCAAAGTGCTTTTCAAGATCTCTTTTTTGTCATAACAGTATGCACACACTGTAGTCAAGTGCTAGTACACAGGTCTGTTCCAAATGAAAGGCAAGTTACCATCTCAGTAGATTCTGATGCTTGCTTTCTGTCAGTTGCTTTAAAATTTGGGTTTGCATGAAATTTTTATGCAACTAATTGCTTACCATTTACCAGAGTGAAGTGAAACTTTTGTTGAGTGAGAACCTCTCTTTGTTCTGTCCTACAAGGGAGTTACCATTGGTAACATGTTCTCTGTGTTATTTACTAATCTATCTTGGTTTACATGAAGATTTCTCCAGCTGCCAATGCGTGGAGAGAAAGAAGTGCTGTGTGCTTTGGCAGGAGGCCCGGTGCTGCAGAACTACCAGCCAGAGTTTTCTCACCTCTCTTACAAGGATGACAGCACTGAATTGAGCCCTATGGAGGAGTCCATGAACTTCCTGAGTTGCAAGCCCATGGCTTTGCAACAACCATTCTTGCACAGGTCTGCACCCTCTTCTTGGTCTCTGGTACCTACTTCTGATCATGACAGCAGTAGAATTTGATGGCATTGCGATATCCCTTTATGTGTAACAGTCATGTTACCAGCAAGACAATCCAGAATCTACCTACTCCCTTAACATTTCCATTCACCTGCATGTTACAATAAAAAGAGGTTTTTTTTAGACAAAACTGTAGGTAGTAAGTAAAGTTTTCCTCTAAAATCAGACAAATATTTTAAATTCTGTTACCAAGAATGTAATAAAAATGGAGCAGTAAAAGAGTAACCTCAAAAAAGCCCCAAAACAAAAACCCACACCCAAACAAAAATAAACAAACCCACAACAAATTAAACCAATTCAGGTGAACAATACCAACAGAGATTCTTCAGGAAACTATACATACTCCTTCAAGYTACAGGTTCATCAATCCTTCTTTCAGACATTTAGAGATTAAAATACTTCATGATTCAACATCCATAAAGCATCGGTCTTGTGTGAATTTGCTTGTCATGATKCTAGAGAATATATGAGATCCCAACACATTTCTGATACTGATCTAAATAATTCTGATTGCATGCAGAGGCAGACAGACTGCATAAGTAGATAAACTTCTCAAAATGTTAACATGTTTTATCACTTTTAAACTCATCAGGAATTCAGCATACTACTTCATACACAAAAGATCCAACTACAAAGACCCACAATGATTTAATCAGCGCTCCCAAGTTATTAAGAACAACTCATCATGCCAAATCAGGCAAGTTTGAAGATAATGAATATTTATAAGGTTTTGTTATGTAGCTCATTTTGAAGAAATTCTAAAGTCTCGCTACAATTAAAGCATTTTCAGAACCTCAGTCTGCAGCTTTTTGCCAAGTCTGTAATTGACTCAGAAAATTCCCTCCTAATGATGGTGGCCARGGCAGATGCCGGCTTTGCTCTTGTTTCCCAAGGAGACCAGCTTCTACAACTTCTAGGTCACAGCAGTAAAACTTGGTCTGCCACAGGCTTCACTGCCAACGTGACAGCAGAAACAATGGTGTGGAACACTGGTGTACAGGAATCACCAGCAGCATTAATGAGACCATACCACATGTGACCTTGGCAAAAACAAGGGCCCTGGTAGCTTCACATGTAAGATCAGGCCCTTTCTGAGTAACTGTCCTGAGTAGTAAAATGATATGCTGGCCAAATGACATGAGATATACAATCAAGACACCATAAAGCTAATTTACTGCCCTAAATCTACATTCTTTAACTTGAACACTCCACAGTTCCCAAATCACTGCATAGAAAAGTCAAACAGAAAGGCAGGACTTTATACAATCTGATTGTACACATACCAATAAAGGATAACAAGTTCTTTTTAGTCTCTAAATTACTCAAGCTTAGTTTTCCTATGTCCTCCAAAACTGCCCCAAACAATTAATCCAAACACAACCTCCAAGATAAACAAGCTCTAACCACACTCACCACAAATAAAACAATTAGTCTTTCCCTCGCAATTCCTTGCTTCAACTTCCTACAAAAATCCAAAAGGGTTTTGAAGCCTTTGATTATTTGGAAGACTAGGGGGGAAACTTAAGTAAAATTATCTGGTATTAATCTTTGGAAGTCATTAAAATATAGGATCATTAAAATTTTCACAAATCTGGGACAGCAATTTGGCTTGCACCAGTATTTCCAAATAGCATGTTAAGAACATGACTGATCAGACTAGTTTCTGCACTACGTGACCAGCTTCTTCAAAGTGTATTGTAAACATTTTCTTAAGAAATGTACTCAGGAATTCAATTATTTGTTTTATTCATTGAATACTCGCAGATCAGTGGTTCTCATTCTCTCTTCCTCTCCCTCTGACATTTTTTCTCCATCACCCAACAGTTGCAGGGCTTGCTCCACAACTSCAGGACTGTGGTGGTGTCTAGCATGTGGCCCTGCACACACAGCAGGAAATATTAAACTAGATGCTACAGGAGAGACCTTTGTGCTTTATTCTATGTTTTGATGTGTGTTTCATAGATTTTGTGTGTAAGTAGCACATCAGATTGCCCAAAACKCTTTGTAAAGCCAACTCAGTTAATGCCTTATGCTACCATCTGTCTTACACCCTCAAAAAGAAAAACCTGTAAGGTCTGAATTAAAAAAAAGAAAAGATGAGACGAAAACTTCAGTTGTACTGCGTAACAAAAAAATCACAGAAAGATGAGAGAACTGGCAAGAAAATCTGATCTAGCAACAAAAACAGAGAGAACTTTGGAATTCTGAATCATTAAAAGCACTGTAATCCCACATTAAAAGCAACTGCTTATCTAACACTAGAGCTTTGACATGAGCAACAAACCCATAACAACGAGCAGTTTACAAGAGTCAGCGGTGTGTTTCAACAAAGGAAGTCCTGGCTGTTCACCTATTCTGTTGTTTMGTTTTTACGATTTTGGACAATTCAATTCTGGTTCTACTTTTAACATTATAAATAAACTCTCAGCTCTACAGCATTTTTTTCCATCTCAATTGTTCAGGCAAGCTATAGTTCCGACTCATTCTAAAAACAAGATGCAGAAGTTGAGATTTTAATAGAAAGCTGTAGTGAAGCAACTTTGAAACTGGATCCATCAGAAATCACCTTATATACATACAGTGCTATCTCATAACAATATTTTAGCAACTTATGGGCACCATAAAAGCTGAAAGCAAAGACACTTACTGACAGATCATACATATACAAATACATAACCAGCCACAAAACTGATTAAAGCAATTTCTCTAGATTTTTATCACAAACTTTTTGAGTTCTATGCTGTTAAAAGATCAGACACCAAAGTTTCTATAAAAGCATCGAATACAGTAGAATTAATATATCAAAAATATCAACCCCACATGCCATTTCTCAAAAGGTCTGCATTTTTAGAAAATTACTTTTACCATAACCAGCAATGACCTGTATAGCTAGGAGCCTAATACCTTCCAGTACAGTGAAACACTACAAATAATGAACTTCTTGTCCCTTCCCCTTTCTTCTGGATCTAACTGGGGAGGGGAGTGCTTCTGTATTCATGTGCAAAATAGATTATATGCTTGACACTGCAATCAGTTCCCAAAGGTACTGTTTTATCCCAGGGATTAAGCCACAGCCTTACSCTGACTGAAGACAGTAAGGAGAAAGTGAGCAAAAAAAGCAGGCAAACCTAGAAATAAGAAACCTTCTAGGGACTTCCCAATTAGAACAGATAATTTTAATACTGTATATGAGACGAAAAGGAGGTAAATTGTAACTGAGAAATTATCTTGCCACTTGACAAAGAGATGAGGGTTAAAAATGTTACAAAAAGTTAAAGCTGAATTGTGAAAGCATGAACAAAATACAGAGATGGAAACAGGGAACATGTAACTGAAAAAAGATTTCTACTTTCCACATCCTAAAAAAACCATCACATGAAAGAACTAATGTCTGCTCTCATTTCATTATCATTTATGTAAATCCTAATTCACAATTAAAATTAAATGGATGATTAAATCATGGTTGTAGGCAGTATGAAAACACAACAGGCCTACTCACATATATAAAGTGAAGTCCAAATACTGCATATATGCACATGCTCAAAGAAGAGTAATCTAGCAGGACAAACTACAGCCTGAGAAAAGCAYTGACTCCGAATATACACCGAGAATTACCTTTACAATTCTGAAGCATAAATAGCAATAATGAACAGTAACAGCGCATCCGAATTTTGACACACGAGCGCCGACAGTATGAGTCATCATAACTCACTTTTTTTCCCCGGAAAGATGCTACTTTTGACGTCTCTTTCTTGTGCAGCATTAAAAATAGGTTTGGCTACTAAGGTAACAGTTACAGTGTTAATGACAGAAAGAAAACAACTTAGCCTTTGTCCCTTACCCCAGCTCCCTTCCTGGAAAAACTTTATCGAGTTGTTACGCAGTTTAATTTGCCCCCTAAAAGTGAGCTATGCCAAGCCGCCAGCCCGCTCCTCCCTCAGTCGAGGTTAGTTGCTCTCTCTGCACTGGAGCGGGTGACACTGGTAACAAACACGCAATAACAAGCCCCGCACAATGCCAGTGCCAGACAACTCCTCAGAAACTGAAGTGGCCGCTCCCATCAAGTTTGGGTAACTGATAGCAGCTTCTTCTTAAAGATCTTAAACTTTTTTTTCCATGATCATGGCTTAGGAAGACATGGCAAGTTAAGAAACATAACAATTCACGGAGGTTGTTTGACGGGGGACGAGAACAACAAAGCAAGCCTCCGGGCAACGAAAGCCGCACGGCTGATGACCAAGCCTGCTTTGTCAAGGGAGGTGCAGCTGCAAACACCGGAGCACGTCAGCCCGGGCTCTCCCGGGCGGCAAGGCAGGACACAAGGCAGGACACAAGACAGGACACAAGACAGGACACAAGGCCTCCTCGGGACACACGGTCCCGCCGCCCTCAGCTCGCCCACCGTCCCCCCAGAAGGCTCCGCCGCCAGCCCCGCTCCGCGGCCCGAGCTCCCCTGGCTCCCCGCTGCACTCGGGGCAGGGAGGGCGCTGCCCTGGACTCACAAGGTGCCCCCGCCCGGCAGCATCGCCGCCTCTTACACAACACCGCGGGGGCTCTCCGGCCTCATGGCCCCGGGTCACTCGGCCCCGGGACCCGCGGCCCTGCCCCGGCCCCGCCGTACTCGCACCGTACCCGAGACAGCTGCGCCGCCGGCCCAGGGGGAAACAGCGCCAGGCCGGGGCGGCCCAGGGGCGAGTCCAGCCCGGCAGAGCCCGGCTCAGCACAAGGAACAGCCGCTGCCGCATATCCCTGGCGGCCCCGCCGCCAGCACCGGCCTTTCCCCGCCGCCGCCTGGCCCGGCCCGGCTCCGCTCGCCTCAGCACGCGCCGCTCCCCGGCGCCATGTTCTCCGCCCGCCTCCCCCCGCCGCCCGGCCAATCCCTCCCGGCGCCCGCGGGGTCCCGTCCGCCCTCCGCGCCCGGGCCTGGCGGGACCCGTACCTGGGAGTGCTGGGAGCTGCCGCCTCTGCCGCCGGGAGGGCCGGGGCTGCGGCTGGGGAGGG